CCCCCCCACTCTCAACCCTCCCCACACTGTGATAGTCAATGACTCAGCGTGAGTCATTGGCGGAATGAAATCAGGCTGAAAGAAACAATAGCCACATCACTGTGCTGCGTGTTGCTCTGACAACAGGTGAGTGGCGAAGTGAATTAGAGTGTAATTTGGTGTCTGTGTTCTTATCAGTTTGGATGTTTTGACTTGTGCAAAGTGTCGTGTTCGGTGGAGTCGAATCAAGTGCAGTCAAGTGTTGTCTTTCGGTGCAGTGGGTTTTTTTTTTTTTTTTTGGCTTCATCCAGTGGCGTATTTGAGAGTGACGGAAAACTGGTGGGGCACCCGCCCCTGAGCTATACAAAAAACCCCCCAAAAAACTCTGACGAACCAACCTGTCTCTCAACAGGAACGCGCCAAGCCTCTCAAAGTAACGTCGCGCAATCTGAAAAACATCAAGTTTGCTAGCGAGCAGCCGACATAATCCCCCCTGATTCCTTTTCTTGCTCCTTTCACGCTTTTGTGCGGCAGCTTATCGCTTGGCATAAGTGGTCACGTCACGTGTGATAAAATTGCCATATGCTCGCAAGGGCGTTTGAATGTCAAATGAGGATGAAGGAAATTACCCGAAAAGGTGGCATGTTTTTTTTTTCTTCTTAATTCTATAGTGGAACCTCTAAAGTCAGTTAATTCAGAGACGTTCATCTCCTGTTTGTTAAATCCCCTTAAAAAAAATCAATTGATGTGGAAATCAAGTTTCATTCTCGACTGTCAAAATAAGGTGATGTGAATCGAATGGAGTCTGACTGCTTTGAATGTGAATCCACTTTGGTAAAAACAGAAAAAGCTCAACATTAAGATAAATCCTTGATTCACCGAAGTCAGGCCTTAGTGCAACTTCAGAGAACTGCTGTCCACGCTGCCGTCGTCTGCACTGTTAAGCTCATGAGGCTGCGGTTTTTGTTTTTTTAAAAGAGATCTATAAGAGCGACGAGGCTCCTTGAACACATGCATCCATTCAAAATAATTACAGGGGACCCGAATGCGCTGTAGTGGATCACTGATCCACGGAAAACAGTTCGATTGCGTTTATTCAATAGCCTTGATATCCAACTGAAAGCCGGTGCACTAGCGCAACGCTAATAAGAAAATACAAGCTACGATTAGATTATTGCACAATAAATGAGAGTTGTGCATATTGTAAAAACCAAATAGAGTCAAGAATAAGAATGATGGTCATTTCACTTTTAACTGCGTCCTAATCGGTTTTTGCCCTCTTGAGTTCATGTTCACTACTCAAATGACTACGACGCGCACACGCAAGGCCTTCCAGTAGGCCGCAGTGCCCCCACCAGCTCCGGGGGGCCACTCTTCGCCACTGGCTTGATGGAGTTGTTTTTTCTGCAGTGCAGTTTATTTGAGTGCAGCGCAGCTGTCGGACTGTGTGGACATCCACAAACATGCCCATCATTTATTCATCCCATCAACTCGCCTCCATCGCAAAGCATAACAGCAGCCAGGGGTGTACAGGATTACGCGTCGCCATAGAGCGCGCCGGTCGCACGGAAGTCAGCAGCTCAGACGGAATGCGCCCATCAGCTCGGGTGTGGGATATGATTTTCTCCCGTGAGGGGGGCAAAGCTGATTGACATTGAGGAGACGTAGCACTTTCGGACTGAGCGGACGCACCTCGAGTGCTAGTGTGCTACGCATGCCAAATCTGTCACGTCACCCCAATTAACCCCTCCCAGCTTGTCATGCACCTTTGACAGGTGGCGCTCATCCATCCCATGCCTGCCTTCCTTCCTTCCTTCCTCCCTTCCTCCTTTCTTTCCCACAGTCTGCTTCAGGCCAAGATGGCTCAGTCTCTTGAATGTCATCTCCATAACCTTTGTCATTCAGCTATTCTAATAATCCATGTTCACGAGCACCCTCATTGAACCGCAGCGAGGCTTGGACTGAATCATATCCTTACATAAGCGATATGAATATTGAATAAATATTGACAAATTGCAACATTAAGAAACAGAGACAAAATCAAATCACCTTCATATGTATCGTGGATTTAAAAAGTTTACACAGCCCTGTTCAAATGACAGGCTTTTGTGATCTTCAAAACAAGACCATGACACATTTAAACCCCCACGTGTGTTTGAGAGATTTTGGGATGATCCAGTGAGACCATGGTGCAACTTTTGGGCTATAATTCCAAATTTTGTGCAAACAAAACACTACTCACCACCAAAAGTGAGGCGTTGTGCGTTCCACTGAGGCGTTGTGCTTGAAACATCATGTTTTCAGCCTGTTTTTCTGCAGCTGGAACTCTGGCCATAGACAAGGTGGAGGGAATTATGAACAGTTCGAAATAGCTTATCAGGCTTCTGCAAGGAAAAGGTTTAAAAAAAAGGGGGGGGGGCGTTAATCAGAGGCCTTTTGTGTGCTGACTTCCATTTAATAATGAGTGGAAATGTGATCGGTGAATTGTGAACAGCTCCCAGTTATAAAGGGGTGTGCACACTTGCGCAATCACATTTTCTCAGTTGCTTTCAGGGTTCGAATAGTTTGGGAATTTTCTCTATATGTAGCTTTTATTTCGTTTTGAATTTTGGGGGATGGTTTGTTAGTTTTTATTTTTTCACAAATGGCTTTTGTTAGTTTTAGTCTAAGTTTTAGATATTTTTGTTGGTGGTATATGTGTGTGGTGCAAGATAAAAATTTTTTCAATTTTTATCTTGCACCCCACACATATCCATTTTTTTCCCACAATACAAAAAACATTTAAACGGGGTTGTAGACTTTTTATATCCACTATATCTGAAAAATCTCAATCAGAAAAGCTGATGCAAAATTGATGAAGGGGACATTCCATTAGGTACACCTGCACAATCTAACGAGAGACTCTCGAGGGGTGTCTCTGACCGTCAAATTCCTAATTTAGATCCGCGAAAGGGGAAAATATTAACTGCGCAATCTCCGTCTCGTGATGGAAGTGGCTCCCAAACGTTGACGCTGTCATGAAGATAAACAAGTTAAACCGGACATTTACATACAACGGTATTGTTGAATGAACGGCGCTCTGGCATGTGTCAATCAAAACAAATCATGACGTGGTATTGGATTTTGATGAGATGTGATCGTAAAGGTGTGTCTGGCTGAGCGCGTAAAAACATAAAATCAATCATACTCAAAGACATAACTTGCTGCTCAATATTGTCGAACGGAAACGAAATCTATCAGTCGAAGCCTCCCTCACGGCTTCGCATATTTTTGACAGGCCATCAAAACATCCCACACCAAACCGTCACAGACATTTGGAAATAACACTCCTATCCTTTGTCCCCCCCCCCCTTTTTCTATTTGCCCACATGTCTCTTCTCCATTTTCCTTGTGACTTACGTGTCCCTCAACCCTTCTCATCCATCACCTCCTCCTCCCGAACTCCCCGCCGTCTGCCCTTCAGGTGTGACGCGCACCATGAAAGAAAGAGTGACCAAACCCACGGCCATGGCCCAGGGCCGCGTGGCCCACATGATTGAGTGGCAAAACTGGGGCATGGCGACGGTGGGCGTGGGGGGCCTACCCCAGTCCCGCATCAGCACCCAGGAGCGGGAAAAGGAGCGGCGGATGGAGAACGACGCCTACAGCGACCTGAGCGACGGCGAGAAGGAGGCCCGATTCGCTGCAGGTTGGGGAACACGCCCGCCCGACGGGGGGGGGCAAAGTACTTCATCGTGCCTGACAAGTAGGGCTGAACCGCTTTGAAAAAGAACCGAAATGAATGCAAATCTTTTGTTTTTCTCCTCAATAGTGTGATTGCGATTGAACACGCGATCCAAGGTCGTCTTCCCATCTATTTTGGGGAAACAAACACAAGCAAGGAATTGTTCGGCTTTACAATAAACAATGTCAGATAGATTATACGGAAACGTTTTGGTCCGTGTGAGCACTGGACTTATCTCGACACGATATCATGAAAAATGATTGTACATACACATATACGTGCGTACATACATATATACATACACACACACACACACATATTTATGCATACATAAATATCAATCTATTTTTTTGTTTGTTTGTTTTTTTGTTTTGTTAGGTGCAATGATTAATTGACAACTAATCTATAATCACATTAATCACAAGTTATTCTTGATAATCGATGCAGTGTTTTGCTACTTTTTTATTTCCATTTTCAAGTGAATGTCAGGATCTTCGCAGTACATATTCTCCAATTTCTGTCGTCCTCTGTGAAAGCAGAGCGCTTATCTTTGTGCTGAATCAAAACAGCACATTTGCCTTGACTTTGTCTACGCTGACATTGTGAAACAATGTCCAATTTTGGAATCAAGGAACGGAAACTGTTTCATTTCAATGATTGTTTGGATCTGATTAAATCGACAAAATCATCGAAAGATCAATCTTAGTTGAAAGCTTCGTACCTCGGGGCAGGACGGCTCAGTGGTGGAGTGCTCGTTTACCCAACCCGGAAGTTGGTGGTTCGGTGGTTCCCCGGCCATTGCGACCTTGTCCAAGTGTCCTTGAGCGAGATACTGAACCCCAGGTTGCTCCTGATGCTGTGTCATCAGTCGGTAAATGAGGAACGCTGAGTTAGCTATCGAAAGATAGGTTTCAGGCACACATGGTGATGATTGTTCAGCCTTACTGTCAAGCGCAGCCGCTCTTCTTGGCTTTGGTCGCGCCAGTCATTCAGACAATGAAGCACGAGGCCCCGCGTGTCTTTTGCTGCGTCACCTCAGGCATCCTCCAGCAATTTGCCATCTCCGAGGCAACCCTCCTGGCCTGGTCGTCGATGGACGGCGAGAGCCCTCGGTCGGGGTCAAACCAGGGCAGCGTGGCGCATCTGAGCGAGGTCAACCAGGAGAGTATCACCAGTCGAGGTAAAAAGTTTAGCAAAGGCAAATATGCTCAACGCGCGGCGGTGTCGGAACCCCAAATTGCACGGCCCGGATCGGCATAAACCGATGGTTGCAAGAGTCGCAATCAGTCTCAAAGAGTCTCAAAGAGTCTCACGTCATCTTTTCAAGCTCCATGCTAGCCAGTTTTTTTCCCCCCTCCCCTGAGTGGTTGAATTTGATAATCTTGATTGCTCAGTACTTGTGTAGTCCTTTCACCTGAAAGCTGACTCTTGCGAAAGCTGTTGTTTGGAAGACGTTTGACTTTTATTTGAATCGTACAAGCTTGCGTGCTTGAAGACAATTTTGGGTGACCTCTGATGACAACTTGATGAGAAGGAATAGAAGTCGGTTGCAAAACAGAGCGCCTCTACTCTTTTCCAATAACCGCTCAAGCTTGACCCCTCCCCCTCCCGCCCCCCCCCCTTTGTTCTTTCCACCAGACCAGATCTTGCATCACTCCTCAGCCGAGGTGTGGCCTCACACTTACGTCTCCCAAGGACACTACTGCCTCTCCTCCTCGGATGCTTGGGAGCCCATCAACAACGACCCATCCGGCGTGGCGTCTCCCCCCGCCGGCTCCTACCTCGTGGGGACCGAGGGCTACGACGGGCAGGCGGCCGCTCACTTCCTGTCGCAGCAGCAGCAGCAGCAGCAGCAGCAACAGCAGCAGTTTAACCTCCAGCAGCAGAGCCAACTGCAGCAGTTGCAGCAGCTGCAGCAGATGCAGCACTACCAGCAGCAGCAGCAGCTCCTGCAGTATCAGCAGCAACAGGTGAGCACACATCATCGTATCGTGATAGACTTTTTTTTTTTTGCCCGCCTCGTTTCTTGGAATAAACCCACGTTCGTCCACCACATGTGCTGAATTGTGGATTAAAGTTTCGACAGAGAGGTATATTCGACAATGCTTTTCATTGAAAGCAATAACGTCCCATCCCCATCCAACACATCTTCTGAAAGGTTAGACCTTCAAAACAAAAGCAAGCAGCATAACACCACTTTGGTATTTAACTCCACTCAATAAACAAGTAATGGTTTCAGTGAGGGTGCTGAATACGCCACCACAGGGCCAAAGACAGCGCAGTGAACCTTTGGCTTTTATTTTGAAGGCCTGATTTTTGAACAGGATGTGACAGCAATCTCGCCCCGAGTGTTGTCAGGGAGTTTGAGGGCCTTTTTATTGCCTTGAATTTTTCGCCATAGCTTGCATTGCGGAATACGCCATCAGGAGTCTTCAAAAAGAGGTCGAAATGACCTGACAATAATCATCTTTTTCCACATTTTTGTGTATTTCACACTTTTTGGGATGTAAAGCTAAAGGTGATTTCGATAAAATGTATTTTTGGGGGTTCAAATTTTTGTGCGCCTGGTTTGAATGAATTTAAGTTTAATTTGTATATTATTTCCTGTGAGAGAATATCGATTTGGATTTCATTCGATTCGATTTTAGTCAGACTTGTCATGAAAACTGAGGTTCATTTTCTGATGACTTTACTTTCATTCCCTCCATACGAACAAATCAAAGTGACTTGCTTTCGAAGCAAAGCGCTGCACTTTGCTTCAGTTGCACACTGTTGGCGTTGTATTGTGTACCTTATTGCTTTGTGCGTCATTCACGAGGTACCTGCTTGGTCGATCACGTCCTCACAGGTCGCACATCTGACCCCGTGCTCCACGCTCTTGTTTTCTAGTCCCTGGAACACCGGCTGCACAGCGCCAACCACTCCTTGCAAGCGACCCCCAACAGCACCATCCACAGCCTGGTCCACCAAGTGCACCCGCCCCTGGTGGATCTGTGGAACACGGGCCAAATGGAGGCCTATCAGGCGGAGGCCGGAAACTTCATGGGCACGGCGGCCGTGGTGGAGCCCGGCCTATGCGTGCCTGCCGGAGACGACCTGGTGGGCAATGAACACTCGCCGCTGCTGGAGCAGCAGGAGGAAGAAGAGGATGTCAAGGTGAGCTGAGGTCATGTTTACAATACCAGGCCAGTCATACATCCGTCCATCCTAGGGTTATCATCGCTTTGGAATTTTCATAAGGGGGGGGGGTTAATTTTGTTCGGCTTAATTATTTTTCATAGCAGGGTTGTCAATTTTTAATCCGATTAGTTTTTTCAAAAAGGCTTTGTTTTAGGTTGTTGTTTTTTTTGTTTGTTTGTTTGTTTTCTTGTGTAGAAGATTAAAACCATTCAACGTAGTGCATATATACACACACACACATTTAAAACGAAACCACGCTCTTGATTTAAATAAATTCCTCAAGTTGAAAACGGACATTTTCGGCATCATCACAGAGTTCGTTTTAATGTAGTTTCAGTTAGTTTTTGTCTCTTTCAAAGCATTTCCGTTTTTATTTTAGTTTGGTCAACGAAAATGTTTTTTTTTTTCCCCAATTTCACTTTTCATTATTCTGTGTTAACTAACCTAACCTTGGTCTTTCCGATCTGTCAGGATGGAGAGATGACACTGTGTATGGAGCCGGACGCCTCCACGCTGACTCCCCCCACGCATCCAGGGGACGCCTCGGGCGGCAGCAGTCCGGGGCACCCGCCGGCCTCGCCAGTGGGCGAGCAGAAAGCCTGCGACGCCACGCCGGCCGGCCTCGCTCACACGCTGCAAGAGGAGGAGGAGGAGGAAGAAGAGGAGGAGGAAGAAGAGGACGCCGGACGGCAGGAAGAGGGGCCGGCCGCTTCCATGGCAACCAACTGACTTCCTGGCTGTCACGTGACTCCTCCATACAAACTGAGCGGAAGTCAGCCGTAGTAATACAATATTTATCTATTATCCTGTTGCTTTTCAGGTATCGAAAAAACAAAAAAAGATATTTTTTTTCCAGGCAGGATGGATTGTTTGGGAATTGCGGACCTGATGCAACAAACTTTGTAAGCCTTACATCCCAAAGGTAAACACGTGACGAGAGGATGAGGAGCTCCACGGACATGACCATCAGGGATCAGGAGGGAGGGGGCGGTGCCGCGTGGGCGTGCTGTGCAGCGGGTCCATGCATGCGACCCCATCATCCTATAACAAAGACCGAACGTATTCAAACAGTATCATAGGAATCCTTTTATACAGTAATAGCGCCAGATGGGGTAAGGGAGCAAGTGTATGATATGATCAATTTGCTTCAGTGGAAGTGGGGGCGATTTTGTTTTTATGTTCGAACATTGTGTTCCCCCTACTCACATCTTCATGAGTTACGGTTACCCCCCCACCCTCCCACAGATGAAGACGATGAACACAATGAAAACTTCCATGGCGCGCATCCTGCTGACAGGCGGGCACGAGCGTGCACACACACACAGACACACACGCACACACACAATAAAACTGCACAGATAAGGATTGTACTGTAAAGATAAGCGTGCTTCCTACTCTGTCTCACTGTATGCATGTTCCTCTGGAGTACCTGTACTATACAACTTTGCACTGAACCATAGTCGGGGGCGGGTGGTGGGTAGGGTTGGAAGGACATCGCTCTCTCGCTCTTTTTAATTATTATTATTTATTTTTTTTGCACTGATGCAATCCAACACATCAGAGGTTGCCTTCTGGACTGGTGACGTTGGCCGAGGCCCACTCTTGAAAGCCACCAAAACGTGGCCACTTGACCTGACCTACCCTGACCTGATGATGATGACGATGATTACCATTTGAATGTACTGGCCGAGACCAGAAGGCTTTCCAAGGGATTTGTATGTTCAGATGGAATTCACTGTTGGCTCACCTCCAGCACCACTACGACAATACCAATGGTCAGGTCCAGAAGTATGTGGATGAGTTTTTTTTTTTGTTTTTTTTGCATTTTTTACACGACCACAAAAATAAAACCAGATGTCATTCAAGTGTAGACTTTCAGCTTTCAATGAAGCGGTTTCACAAAGTTTAGGAAGGCGTTTACCATTCGGGGACGAGAGCCATTTGACAGCCACACATTTATCAGGACGACATTTCGCTGCTGTAATGTATTCAAAGTACTATTTTTCCATTGAAATGAAAAGAAAGGCCATGAATCCATTCCGATCACCAAAAAAATGTCGTGTATTTTAATGAGGAGAAACAGCACTCGTAGCCTTCTTGTCCCTCTTAGGGCTGCAACTAACAATTATTTTAATCATCGCTTAGTCTATCGATGATGCTGCCAGTTCATCGACAAATCGGAAGAAAACAAATGATTTCCATCCCCTCATTCAAAAGCATGCCATATTTGAAAGTGACACTGCAGAAAAGGCAGAAATGTAAATTCCTGAATTCATTCATCGGCTGCTGACTTGTGGCTCAAACTGACTTGGCGTGCGACATGCTCCATAGGGTTGAGATCGGGGGTGCCGATTTGACCATTGAGGAATGTTCAGTTTCACCGCCTTCCAAAACGTCTGCCAGCATTCGTTTGCTCAAGCACGTGTTTCACATGTTGTGGAATGCTTTGGATTGTCTCCAAAGTTTTCATTCCATCGACATTGGTTTCATCTTTCCAAAGTTGAACAAGAATGTCTAATCCGTCTTTCCTTGGCATGACCGGCACCAGCCGTGTGCGCCTTGTTGGAATCATTCCGTAGGCTTTTACATTCAAGAAAGCATTTCTTGATGGTTCACTTTGACAACGATACGCCTCGCTTCCCTCAGGCTCGCGCTGATGTTGTGAAAAGCCACACGGCAAAGAAACGGCACATTCTTCGGTGGCCAACTCGGATCTTGAGCCCATAGAGAATGCTTTTCACTTACTGAAGACAAAAGTGAAGGCAAAAAAGCGAGGGTGACTGCAGCGACAGCTGACTATGAACAATAGTGCTCGATTTGCCATGATGCCTCGGCTCATTTTGAGTCCCTGAATATTGAGAGATCTGCAAAAAAAAATAAAATAAATGTCTGGACTGTAATTCCTCCGCCATTTGTGCTCACATAAAAGCTGAAAGTCTACAGTTCAATCCCATCTTGACTGTTTTATTACGGCGCTGTACAAAGCCAAACATCATCAAAATGCTTCTGCGCCCAAAACGCATGAATATCCAAATTGTAACCAGCAACAGGCAGGCACGAGGCCGGCTTGCCAAAGTCACCTCTTGTTATATCGATGGAAATCATTTTGGAAAAACACCGTAAACCCACAAACGTCTCGTAGAGTATGATCAGGTTTTTTTTTTTTATCCCTTACACCCATTGGTCTTAACTTTCTGGTGGTCTTTCTCCTCAACTCACAATTCAGGCCTGCCTTGGTCATTTTTTTTTTTTTTTTGCGTCGGTTCCATTGGAATGGAGCTGAAAACATGCTTGTGTGGGTCCGCTCGTGCCAAAACACGGACGCGTGCTGCCCAATCAGCCAATCAGGGAATAGACGAGGCGGCGGCGCTCAAGGCGTCGTCCTTGCTCGTGTGTGATTACTGTGAGGCAGTTGCTTGTGTGCTGACACATTTGCATTTCTTTGTATTATTTGGAATATTTTCCTGTGAGGAACAGGGTGGAGGTAATAGTGAGGTGGTGGGGGAGGGGGGGGGGTTTAGAGAGACTTGCTGTGCATGGAAACTTTCCATGGCTTTTCTCTGTCTGGGAAAATCTTCTCCTCATGTTGTTGATTGTGTGAGAAACTTTTAAGATACAGTATAGATATACTGTATAACCACACACACACACACACACACACACACACACACACACACACACACACACACACACACACACACATATAAACACAAAGAGCAATTTACTGACTTGAATGAATTGATGTATTGACGGCTTCTTTATGCAATGTCGGGACAATGTTTATTTTTCTACTTGAAATCCCTGAAGCTAGAATAGGTGTCATGGTTGTAAAGTCGGGCACTGGTAAAACTGCTGGGTCCAAAGTAACCCAAATTGGGTGAAGTAGCTAACCCAGCGCTGGGGTGCACAAGGGACAGAGCCAATGTTGAGTTATTTAAGCCCAGCACATTGGGTTGAGGATGGGACGCAGCACGTTGGGTCAAGATTTCCATCCAGTAAGGTGTCGAATCTGCCCATTCTGATGGGTACAAGCTCGCAAGAAATGGGTTTTCCTGTGATCAGTATAGCTGCGCTGAAAAAAAAAAAAACGGACACCTTTTATAACCCACATTTTCTAAGAAGAAGAAGCAGCAGCAGCAGCAGCAAATTTCCCCCTTGGTGACGCACGCCGCCCATTTTCCGCGGCAGCCAGCTTTCGCTCTGCAGCCCGCCTCAATGCAATCTTAAACCCAATCGTCAAAACCGACGAGCCCAACCTTGTGAAAAAGTAACCCAATCCGCTCACAATCCACAGCTACCCAGCGAATGGGTTAGGAAAACAACCCAGTATTTTTCAGTGTGTATTTGGATGCGGCGAAAACAACTCTGAAGGATGAAAAGTTGGATTTTGGCGCCGCTTTTCTCCTTTTGGTGGAAAGAGCATTCCAAACAGAATGTCTTTACACAATGGCACATATTCATTTATTTATTGAGCAATTCAGGAGGATTAGCGTGTACAGACTCTACGGATTGATGCGACCCTTCTGTGTTTCTTTAAGGGTCTCCTTCTTCGATGCTGCTTTCGTTCTATCTGGGCTCACCCCCAAGAGGCAACATGCATAAGTGGGAACAACACTGCTTCTTCTTTCCCGGGGGTGAATTCCTGCTTTGATTTTGTTGATCCAAATCACAAATGAATGAATAAATAAGAAGCCACATTTATTCCTGTGGATGTAAAGGCTTGAAGGACCACGTCTCTCTCTCTCTCTCTCTCTTGCTCTCTCTTTTTCTCTCTCTCTTTCTCTCTCTCCCCCTCTCCCCTTTTGTATGAGTCCACTGCCACTCAAGCCGCTTCTTTTGTGTGTGTCGTGTGTATTTCTATGTTTGTGTGTATGTGTCGTCACGTCGTAAGACTCACCGCCGGGTTAAGACAGTTGAAAAATAGCTCGGAAACATTTTCAACCAAAGGACATTAGAGGCAATCAGCAATATTAAAAAGCACGGCTTGTGTGTGAAATGACAATACACTTGTGTATTAAAAAAAAAAAAAAAAAAGAAAGAAAGAAAATTGGCACTCACGCATACCTGTTGGACCTTTCTTCTTTCTGGTCTCCATTTTTTTACCCTCCTACTAAAGTTTTCATCTGTTTGTTTTGTTTGCCATCCTCGGCCTCGTCACTCCCGCATGACAGAAGCTCCTCCCACCACTCCGACCACCCTTTCTCGTCTCCACCTGTGGAGCAAATAAACAGACAAAGCCAACGTCTCGTGCATATCTGCGTTTGTCTCGCGTAGAGGTGCTCCGCTTTTCCTTTGCGTCATCTGAAAAAAGGAAAAACATTTCAATCCGGGATGTTAATCTTGAGACTTTTTGGCCACAGTTTAAATATCGGCCGTCAAATTGTATCCGACAGAAGATCGTGGGAGGATAATGTGGCGTGCTGTGCCACAGGCGTGAGCAAACATGAGCACGTGAGTTGATTTTTGCCAATTTTGGTCATTTAGAGTCAAAAGTTAGCAATGAAACAAATTGAGTGGATTAATGAGCGACAAGCAGTGGTTTACATCACCAATAATCATCAATGTCATCCAGTAATTGGAAGAAAATTATGGGTAGTGGCTGCTTTCCTTTCTTTTTGGAAGTGGATGAGTCTAACTCTTGAAGAAGAAAAAAAAATCGTTCATCATTTTCCCAATTTATTATTTGAAAAATCACAGACCATTATGGGTGAATTTAGAGCAAAGATATCATCGTAAATCATACATTTAAATTGACCTTAATCAGTAAACAGTACATCCTCGTTGAGGTCAACGTCATTAAGTCTATCTCAACATATTTCATTGTCGTCATTAAGCGCTGCCAGTCTTTCATGGAGCTTCTTGGTGAAAATAAGCAGACGGTGACGCAGATCTTCATCGTATGGAAGAACAGAGATGTCAAAAGAGTTTGTAAAAGACACAGGAAGAGACCTGAGATTTGAAGAGTGGAAAAAAAAAGAAAAGGTAGAAAAATTTGGCTCGCTGAGAGCACAAAGTTTGTGACCTGACTCGTCCTTCCTAGATGGGCTCATCCGACTCCTCGCTCTCCCGCTCCTCGTGCAGGGAGGACAGCGCGTGGACGGGGCCGCCGGGCGAGCCCGGCGACTCGCCGGGCGAGGAGGTGCACGGCGACGCCGGCTCGCGCGCACTGGCGGAGTCACCTCCTCCGCCGCCGGGAGAGGACGGGCCATCGCGGGCGGGCATCCCTGGAGAATCGTCCTTCCTCGCTGCATCCTCGTCCCTCCTGTTCCCCTCGCCCCAAAGGTCCCGGTCCCACGTCGGGGAGGAAGTGGTGGAGGAGGGCGGCTGGTGCTTCTTGGCTTTCCTGTTAGCGTCTCGGAAGCTGGCCAAGGGAGGGCGGAGCCTCACGCCGCTCCGAGTCGAGCCCTCGATGGCTTTCTGTAACTAAGACCACAGAAGAAGAAGAAGACAACAAAAGTCAACTTCTTAGTATCAATATATTTGCGCCATTTAATTGCCAAAAAAATGTCATCTGCCCAGGGACTTCACAATCAACAAAGTTGGCCAGTGCTCAGTGAACCACTGACATCGTCCGAGAATCTTCAAAGTTATTTTGAATAACAGTTGCCGTCTTAACATGTATCTTGAATTGAATCCCACTTGAAACATGAAGCATAAAGTGGACATTTGCGGTGATAGTTGTAATTCAGCCACGCAGACGGTTCATTGATTCCCTGCGGCAATGAATTGTATTGGCCATCCCCATTACATATCATTTGATGTCACTATTTGTAGCGCAACTGCTACATACAGTAGATGACACTGAATCATTTTTGAGACTTTCTCAGTTTACTGCTTTGTGGTAATACGAAAGTGCACACAGATAAGTCAATAAGAAAAAAAACAAATTTAAAAAAAAAAGGACTCTTACCTCTTTGAGTGCGACAACACCCACTAGCTTGCCAATACTGGTGACGTAGGCATGACTCAGACCCAGCAGAGAGAACAGAGTGTGGGTCTGAGTAACAACAGAGAAGAAGAAGAGGAGGAGGAGGAAGAGGAGGGGGGGGGGGTAACGCCGTGCAGTGAGTGTTAAACATATTGGAATGCGCTAGCATTCTGCTGGCGTGGCTGCTCTTAAACACATCCCCTACGCTTACAAACGTCGGATTGCGTTAATGTGCCGCACACGGTTCATATGGCCCATAGGATGCAGCAGGCATGAAATTCTTCTCCCAGAGTTTGCAGGCACACGATCTCAAATTTCAGAATCAACATAAATGAATACATTACATCCATACAGACATGGATTTGTCTTTTTTTTTCACTTTACTCAAGTGGTGTCATATCTGAAGCCCAGCCGCTCCTCCCCCCAACCTACCAAAACAATCCAATATAAAAACAATAACAACAATAAATAACCAAGCAATAGAGTTGAGCTTTGCTTGGTTCCTCGATTCAATTCCAAATCCGACATTTTGAAATCTGCCTGATTCCAGGAGAATCGGGACGTTAGTCCCCATTCCACTCCATTCTCGATCCCCAAGCGACAGCTCATCGCAATTCAGGCACTTGTACCGTTTCATTACCTTGTGCAACGACGTTCTTTCCACCAGCTGAAAGGGGGAGGGGTCAATCCGAATCTGCTCCAGATCTATCGGCTTGTCCAACTCGGCCTCCTCCCAGGCTTTGATCTGCGTACGGGCCAATGACACGAGCGCGCTTATCGTACGGCGGCTTGACTTGTTAGCGGCTAACGCGAACGGTGGAGGTGCTCTACCTCGTCTGGCGACATCGTGTCAATCAATGTAGGCGGAGCCGTGTCCTGGAGGGATGAATAAAGTCCATCGAGCCGCCGCCATCTTGGACAGGTCCAAAACGGCAAGTGGGGTGACGTACCTGTGCGTCAGTCGGTCCAGTTGATGACGATGAGGAGAAGAGTCTCTGAAGGGTCCTCCGGACGGAAGGTGCTTTGCGCTTGTCTGCGGAGGTGAACAAAGAACGGTCACAAGGACAGGACATGGGAGAAAATCCCGTTGGACACCAGCGGGGAGCGATATGAAAAATCACCCTTTGCTTTACCTGTGCTTGTGTGATTGCTGGAGGGCTCCTGAACTCTGGTGAACGGGATGGGCCCGTTACATTCATCCAGCCCCGGTGCACTCTGAAAAAAATCACACGCTCATTTCTATCGGCCTCGCGCCACTGTGGCAACCCATCTTCCTCACCTTGTCCGTCCCCTCGTTCCCGCCCTCCTCGTCCACAAAGGTGAAGGACTCCCAACTGATCTTGGAGACTTGGCCCGGTGAACTTTGACCTTTCTCAAAGACCCGCCTGGCCGGCGAGAGCCACCAGTCGATGGCCGCTTGGAGCTCCATCCTCTCGATGGAGCCCAGAAGAATCATGGATTCTTTGCAAGCACGAAAGGAGCGGTTAGCCATCGTCCATCCAATTACGATGTCACGTGATGTTGGTGTCTGTCGTCATTCTTTGCCGCCAGGCCTATTTGGGCAACATTCGCTGTATTCACGAGACGTTTCTCACTTCTCTCACCTTTGGAGTCAACTAGCGGGATGGTTTTCAGTGTCGTAGTCTCCAGCAGACGATTCAGTTCCCGATAGGTGGAGTGAGACGACAAGAACTTCACCTTGCGCACCATGATGTCCTCCACAAAGATGTTGTACTTGCTAGCGGAACACGACGGGTGTGACGAAACGGCGCTGGCCTTCTCGGAGCATCACAGCGCGGTACCCGCTTTACCTGATGTGCCCGAGGGCCAGCTCAGGCAAGTACGGCAGCTTCTTCACCTGGATGATGGAGTCGTAGAGCGAAGGCTGCAGACCCTGGGCCACCATGTTGGCCAGAATGACCGCCACCATCATGGGCAGGATGTGGGAGATCTGACCCGTCAGCTCAAAGCAGATGACTGCGGTGGAAACCGTGTGAGTGACCGCTCCTGTCATGGCGGCCGCGCCTGGTAAGCGAGCGCAATATATTGGGGTATCGTGCATTCGTATTTTGATAGTCGATTCAATTATTTATTTGGGGGGAATGAATTTCAGTTTCTCAGCCAGATATTTTCTGGTTTCTGTCTTCCTCCCCGAAGGCAGACTGATTATCGTTGAGTTGAATCAAAGTAAAATATCTGTTTGAACTCTGCAACATTTTTAGGCTACTTTCTCATGTTACAGACCAAGTCAGTAACTGAATAATATTTCATTCATGTTTGTATCATTTCTACACTGTCAATTTGAAATCCAAAAAAAAATATCGAAAACATTCAATCATTCTTTCATTTTCTGCTCCGTTTTATCCTCACAAGCGTCGTGGAGGTTGCCGGAGCCTATCCCAACTGTCCTCGGGCAGTAGGCGGGGGACACCCTGAACCGGTCTTCAGCCAATCGCAAGGCACACAGAGACAAACAACCATTCGCATTCACACTCACACCAAGGGACAATTTAGAGTGCTCCATTCACATGCCATGCATGTTTTGGGAATTTGGGAGGAAACCGGAGTACCCGGAGAAAACCCACGCAAGGCGCGGGGAGGATAACATGCAAACTCCACACAGGAAAGCCGGAGCCGGGATCGAACCTACAACCTCTACACTGTGAGGTCGACGCGCTAACCACTCGCCCACCGGGCTGCCAGTCGAAAACATGTTTTTTTGTTTTTTTTTTAATCCGATTCATCAATCAGTCAACAAAAGATTCACAGTCATCCTTTGAAGGCCGCAATTCAATTTCCAACAGAAGGTCAAGCACGAAGGACAACGTGGAAGCCCGCGACTGACCAATGACGGCGTAGCCTCCCGGCAGGATGCGATACACGATCCCGTCAAAAAGGATTCCATTTGGGAACAAAGTCGCCATGATCTCCCCGACCAGGCGACCAAAAGCGGCTCCTAGACAAGCGACAGAAGGACAAGCTGGAGAAGACCAACCAAAAGAAACTGACCAAGGTCAGCAGCTGGTAGCTGTGCTTGCATTCTTCCCTCCCCCGCCACAAAAAAAAAAAAAATTCTAATCATAAAAATAAATCCTCGTACCTAATATGAACACTGGCATGAAGGCACCCGAGGGGATGGGCATCGTGGTGGAAACCGCTGACATCCAGAACTGCGACACAAAAGCAGGATCGGGGAGGGACGAAGAGCGATCCGAGAGATTTTTTTTTCCTCACGATTCGAGTGCACACTCACTTTGCTCACCTTCATGACGAGGAAGAGCAGGAGGATGACGAAGACGTTGACCTGAGGGTGAAGCCACACGGCCGAACGGCCCAGGCCGGGCGGAGGGGCGGAGGCTGAGATTTTGGTCCAGGTGAAGTTGTCGAACAGGGAGTTGATGCACTCTCTGGGCATGAGCTGCCACGGGCGGGAGGGCGCATGATGACGCTTGCTCGTAAAAGTCCCAAACTCATCTCAGAGAAAGGTTCAATTCAATCAAAATGCAGAGGCGCGGCGCATGCTGTCATTGCTCTCGTCCCCACCGGCCAAACTTGGCAATGGAGAGGACAAAAGAAAATGAAGTAACAGTACAGCGTGCTCAAACTACAAAATGAATTAGTCCATTTGTCAATTTTCGATGGCCACGGTCACGGGAGCGGGAGACAAACGGCGGGACCTCAACACAGAAATGACGCAACTTTTTCAACAAACAAGCCGTCTCTGCGCCAAGATTTTTGTTTTGACTTGTGAGTAAAAAAATCAACGGTAAGAGGGCTAGCTTTGCTGACAGGGTACTTCACAACACGGAACAATTTGACAGATGCTGTACTGGGAAAAAAAAGGACGTTTCAAGCTGTCATTCGTGGTCAAATCACACCTAATAAAAACAGAATTACATGCGGTTCATTAAAAAAATAAGCACCGAGGTTTGCCTGAGCGAGCTCCGCTAGCTTCAAGCTAACCCACAATGCAAAAGGCCATAGGCAGGCTAATGAAACTCGCATCAATGTTGCAGCGATACAATCCTTTTCGCCTGACAATTTGAACACAATTTAGGAAAACACATGAAAACAGACAATATAATAATCCTCAATGGCATATTTTCTTTATCATCTGCGAAAAATATTACTGCATCTTACTAAGCAGTTGTAACTGTTTTCTTCAAGTCTCGCAACACGTCTGCATTGGAGAGTCTTTGTAGCGTGAATAGAGAGGTAAAATATCTCATCTTAAAATGTGTCTCTGTCATGGATTTTACGTCGATTACGGCTGCATCCCCGAAAACGAACGTGAGTTCACCGTCATTGGGGTCCGGCGACCAGTAAGTGAACGAGCATGTGATTGAGTCTTCCTCACCTCACCAGCCATAAACTGTCCAAATCCAGAAGGAAATGTGAAGGTGGCGATGATCAGCGTGACTGCGCCTGGATAGATCAGCCGACTGGACGGACGCACACACACACACACACACACACACACACACACACACACACACACACACACACACACACACACACACACGACCATCCAAGGATTGCATTAAAGTGACAAACACACAACAAACACACACTGATCAACTCCGTCCTGCCTGCCTTTCTAATGGCCGCAATGAGCGCCTCCAGACTGTTGCGCCGAAGGGGAGCAGACATTGAGTGAACACCTTGCCAAAAGGTTATTGAAGCTCTCCTACTTTTGTGCCACCGAGAGACTGATGAGCTCAAAGACAAGAAGCCGTGCAAAATAACGTGCTTTGTGTGAGTAGATGTTCAAGAGAGGCCTTCTTCTGGTGGCTATCGCAACAAGGTGTGTGTGTGTGTGTGTGTGCGTGTGTGTGAACTCACTGTTTCGTCAGAAAGCGTGTGAGCACCGTGGGTCTTCTCATAAACAGGACCACCTGTCTGTTTAAGTAGACGAAGAACGCCCCAAGGAAGCCACACGAGATTCTGAAACCCAAGAGACGAGTCCCTCGGATACGTTCCCATTTAATTATGTGTGTATATACACACACACACACACACACACACACACACACACACACACACACACACACACACACACGCACGCGCAAGCACACACTTTACCCGATAATTGCAAAGGCTGGCAGCTCCTGCAGGTCAAAGGGAAAATCCATGCGGAAGTTGGTTTTGAAGAGAGCCGTGATTGTGACTGAGAGTAGAAAACAAAAAACAATCAGCTTCAGTTGAAGAGTATTTTTTTTCCTTCAAGAGAAAAATAATATGCTTGTCACATCCAGTCTGGATTACTAATTCATTACACAGCCAAATCACTCCTTGTCTGCTCACAAAGCCTCAAGGTCAAATTTTCATGTTGTCAGGGGATGACTGCTTTGTGATTTCTTCACTAAAATTTGAGTCTTCGATCCTAAATTTCAACTGGACTTAACCTTCTCATGCTCCCTCTTGCCTATCCGGGAAGAGATGAAGTCAAATATCCTCCAAAAATGTCTTTCATGTCAATAAAAGCCAAAGGAATTGGTCATTTTGAGACGCTTTCTGGATAACGCTGCTAACCAACAAACAAGTTAGTAATACAGGTGCGGCGCAACCGTCAGGTGATTTGACGAACTTGGAATATGTGTGTGTGTGTCCTCCCTTCCTCCGCCCTTGTACTCAACTGCTCCCGATCGTGCCTTCCTCACCTGCAACTGGTTCTATCCGACGACCTCATGTATTTAACCTCGTGTCTTGTTCTGTCTCAGAGCCAGTTTGTTCTAACGATGCATCATTTCTCATTGCCGCCACTAACCCCAAATAACCTCAGGTCCGGTTTGCGCAGCACTTGCATTTGGGTCCCGTTTTTTTTTTTTTTTGAAAGCACTCTCATTTTTATTTTATTTCATTGACGACCATGCTTCTTTAACTTTTATTTTAGTTATTTGATTAGCTTTCATGAACGATTGTAACCGTGATCCGCTTAAGTACACAATGCAATTACTTTTGCCAACACGGTTAATGCTATATACCGGTCTATTCTCCCAGCGTCCCCACATTTGGGCAACGGTACAAACACACTGCTTTCACCTTTATACTTGAGAGGGGAAAAAGACAAAGGACTGTGCTGTCACAAGCGGCTACTTTCTATAAAATACCAGCACTGCAGTATTTGCGGTGTGTGCGTGTGAGTGTGTGTGAACTGCGTCTCACCGGCATCCTTGTTCCATACAGAGAGCACCCTGAATATGAACGCGCTGAATGTGGCGGCAAAATATCCCCGCCAGTAATTCCTCACTGCAAAGTAGGTAGACGTGACCTCAATACTGAACAACACCCCTGGTGGTGATGAGAGGAGGGGAGAGAAAGAGGAGGGATGGAGGACAGAGGAGGAAGAAGGGAAGGATTAGAGGGAAAACACGGGGAAAGATGTGGTCAGAGGGAGACCAAAAAAAAAAAAAAAAAACAATACTTGGGAGTTGAGGGTATAATCATACACAAGAGGAGTGCCACTAAACACACGAGTGCGCTCTTAAGTAGACATACACGTAGACACACATTAGTGGTTTGGTTGGCTGAGAGTTAATAGTGTCGTGCCTTGTGATACGAGTGACCAGACTTGCAAGTTTTTCGAGATACGAGCAGTTATTCCCACTGATGTTTTTTCTTTTGCTATGGCATGTCTGTGGCTCGTAGATGAGTGAACAATTCTTTCAAAATGAACCTTCAAGATTCTCATTTCCACTCGCAGTTGAAGTGTACTCTAAAACTAAACATAAAACAAAGAGAATGAAACCTTGTGTATTTAAAACAACCACAGCTTTTCCTTGGGAAAGTTCGCTTAGCTTAATGCTAACACACAAGTAAAACGCCATTGACATGCTAATGTTAGCAACAAACACCGGGGCTTTAATAAGCAACAGATATTTCGACATAAACGAAGGAATGACACATGCAGACAAATAGGAAACAATTCTCACAGCCTTATATTTAGTTTATCCTCAACGAAAAACGACTGATTTTATAGCAGCAGTGAGTCTCTTACAGTGGCAGCAGTAGTAGAAGAAGAAAAAGAAGAAGAAGAAGAAGAAGAAGAAGAAGACGAAGAAGGAGAAGAAGAGGAGGAAGAATCGTCTTCTCTGTTTGTGTCTGCATGACTGTATTACGCTGCTTATCGGTGGCCAAGGCGGGCACATCAGCAAAAGCAGTCGTGTTAAATTTTACAAATTTTACTCTATATCTTAACTAAGTACCATATCAGAGAGATTGAGTGTGACTTTTCCTTATTTAAAAAAAAAAAAAACATTGAGGTAAATTTTGGGGCTTGAGTTCCCCTACAAAGTCCTCTTGTGACCAACAGGTTGGATTTTGCTCACCGCTGGTCGCTCTCAAGTTTGCCTGAAGCAGATAAAATCAGTCAAAGGTGCTCAAATACAATTTATCACACCCAATCTCTCATGTTTCGAAACCTACACGAATATGCCCGCCGAGATGATTGATCATCCTGCGGATACTGCAGGGACCATAGTGGAGGTTGGAGAATGGCATCAAAATCAAGCGATTACAATTCCTCCACCATTTCCATTTCTCAGCACTTAAACATTCATGCCCCTTTGAAGCAGCAAAGTGTCATGAACATGATAAGCACTTGATCACTGTATACATCTCCCAAATTTGTACAAGTTGTAAAAAACAAAAAAGGAAAAAAAAAGCATCAAAAAGAGCTTTGAAAGCCATGTTGTGGGGTGCAAAGTTGTACAGTACCTCCTAGTGGAGTGCCGAAACAACATCCCACTCCAACGGCACAGCCAACAGTCAGAATATCTGTGTAACCGTAAGGGTTCTACTGACGCAGACAACAGAAGGGGAGGGAGGGCGGTCGGTCGGCGAAAAGGGTTTCGGGGGGTGGTTGATGGGAGAGAAAGACAGAAAAAAATAGTGAAAGCGGAGATGAGAGGGCGGGAGGAGGATGGTGGGGGAGAGAGAGAGCAGCGGGGACGGTGGGGAAGCAAAATTGGATAAAGTGAATAAATAACGTTCAATGGATTTTTACGAGAAGGTGCTAATAAAGGCGTGAGGAAACATAACAACACAGCAAGGGGATAATAAGAGCGAAGGGAGCACATGCATTTGGGCGCAAGCTTTGGCTTCAAAGGGACAACCATATTTTTATTTCTTTGATGTGAAACATAGGAAAGCCAATTTTCACAACAGCAAAAACGTGAAACATGTACTCGAGTTGCCCAACTTAAAATGATATCGATATTTGTTGCCTTGAAAATTTGAGTTCACCCAAAATTCCCAATTTTTTTATTTATTTTATTTTTTTACAGTTTAAGTCATCAAGACTGATGATGACTGAGTTCCATTTTAAACCTCCGGATGGGACTTGCCTCCCACTGGAGCAGCAAAACAAGTGGCCACTCCCACAGCACACGCACACACCAACAGGTCCTGGTTATGGGTGCCATTCTAGGGGTTGAAAGGTCAGCAGGGTGTGGGGGAGCAAGGGGAGGGAGCAGAGCAGTTGGAATGAATGAATGAGAGAACACAGGGGTGGGGACAAAGAGGGATATGAGAGGTCAACATTATTACACATGCCAGACATTAGCGTCACACTATTAATACAAAGAGATACAAACAGACGAGGTGTTGGTAGGGGGTGTTCAGGGCACATGGCGGCTTTCAGGGTGGGGAGGACAAGTGAGAGAGGAAAATATTTTTCCCATTTTTATCTTCAAACAGCCCCAATTGGCACATTATTTACGCCTGCATTGCTGTCGATTAGCTTGCCAAAAGAGGAGCGCCCCGGTTTACAACAATGTCGATGTATGGCGTTTCGAGGTTGAGTACGGCGCGCAAACTACATTTGTACCTTGAGATACGAGTTAAACATGTTCCTTGACCGAAAGTCTCAAATCAAAACATCTCACATTATTTTTTCCCCATTCAAATGAATGGAAATGCCAATAATGCCGTACCAGCCTCCCAGCGCCCCCACCAAAAAAAAAAAACCCCAACAACAACAACAACAAAATAAATGTAGATACAGTCACGACCTATTTATGTTCGCACTAAGCTAAGAGCTTAAAATACACGGTATTTCTCTTTGTTTTATGTTTAGTTTGACAGTAACCTTCAGCTGAGAGTAGCATGAAACAGCTTGAAGCTGCTTATTTTTTTTTTTTTAAACTGCCACTTGTTGCAAAGTAAGCTGAGTCAACTGCCACCATACACTGCTCGCATCACAAGTCTGCACTCGCAAGTCAAAGTAAAAAAACATGGACGGATCACATGTTGAAAAAAATCGTTAGTTGGGTCCCCCGTATCTCAAGGCACCGCTGTATTGATTTGGAACTCCCCCATATGATGTACAAGGAACAATTGCGTGAATTTTGTTATTTTTTTCTATAACTGTGCCATAATTCTGGTGGCATTCAGAAGCGGACTAAGTCCTCAAAGTCCCCACGAAAAGCCGAGATTCTAAATCCACAGCCACTTACTGAACGGGAGGATTTTCAAGAATTGCCAAACATGTATGTGAAACATGATTGGAATGATTTTTCGGGGTGGCAAAAAATGGGAAGTGTTTAGTTTGAGCAACATTTAGGATGGAGGGGAGAAACAGCACACGTCACGTTCGTCGGCGTATTGCCCTGAGGCTCCGTCTCGTCTTACCTCGTAGACGCCAGAGAAGATGGACATGAAGCGACTCAACACCGCGGCACAGATACTGGCGATGTGGACGAATGGACCCTGAGGGAGGAGGCGGACGAGGCGCATGACGGAAACATACAAAACACAGAAGACCGTCTCAAACAGGGAGTCGAAAATGGGTCGCGCGGTATCGAAACACATCCATCAGGGCCTAATTGTCGGGTAAGATGGCCTCCGCCGCTACTACGACGAGGTGGGGTAGGGTGATGGGGGTGTGGGGGGGACTAATGCGCTCCTTGGAGGACTTGAATAATCAGCGAGGGGAGGCCGGTCAGGAAAACAAGACAGATGATGATTTATTATTCTCTAAACTCGAGGAAAGAACAGATAGAGTGCCAGAGCAATGAAGGGGGGGGGGGGGGAGAGTGACTTGGGGCAGTGGATGCACGCGCAAAGCTTGTTCTCCTAGTTTTTCTGTGATCTGACGAACAAAAATGATCAATCAGATTTTGGTCAAAGCTTTTATTTGAAAGCCCCGACTTTACCGGCAACAGGACGTTTACTCCGATATTGCCCGAGTGTCGAGCAAAAGTAAGGCGCAGGTCGTGTTTTTGTCTGCTTGGGGTCACCTCACCGTCCGCAGGTTTTACAGTTGTGTATCTGTGACTGACTGAATGCGTGTGACTTTTAAGGCGGGGCCTGGCCTGTCGGGTGTCGTGAGACTCTGTGGATCAGAGCGAGTAAGGTGGTTGTTGACTAGCTAACCGTTAGCCACTCTGCATTCTGAGTGACTTGGCACAAGTTTTTGTTCCAGTACCTTTGTTGAATAAAGTGACAGAAAGTGATTATCCATCTAAGGGTGAAGGTATTGCAATTCGTTCTGACACGCGGAGGTAGGCTATATTAAATTAGCTAATGACATTTAACCTAAACGTAAGCCAGTTGCTCTGTCTTCGAGGCACTCTTTCCTTCCTTCTTGCTCTGCAGTGTGGAAAAAGAATCAATGCCCTCATACAGCCGGTAATTCACAAACTAAGTCCGAGAAAGCCACAATGCGCTGAAGCCGCAAAAAGTGAACCACAATCTAGTGAGGGACGACTGTATTTCTGAAATTCCCCCAGGTGAACGTTTTGTGGGAAACTTTCCCTCAATTGAATGGAAAATTTCCCCCCTCCTTGAAAGCCGAATGAAAGCACAGCGACAGTAGCTTCAAAAATCGAGCTACGGCAAGTACGCCGCAGCTTTTACCTCTTTGCCCACCGGCATCCCGCTGCCCAAGCCCGCTGTCAAGCCAATGACTTTGGCGACAAAGGCCTTCAGGGTCAGATACTCCTTCAGAACCACACCCCTCAGGATGGTTTTCAGTTCGGGGATACCGGAACCTGGAGCCGAGAGGGGATGTGAACATCTGTAAAGCGCTTGAGAGGGGTTGATAGGTGACTCGGGGCGGTGGAGTGGAGCATACCGATGGCCTGCGGGGAAACCAGCTGACAGAAGAGCGAAGCAAACATGACCAGGATCATGGGGTAGCTGATCCAGGCGAGGTATTGGAGCGCCACGTTGCCCTTCAGCTCCCCGTGCATCCACTTGTAGGCTGCAGGACGAAGAGCTCTGTCACTCAAACGTAACCCGGGGGAGACGGGCGACGTAGACCTGACGCTGATGCGCAGTGATGCCCCCCCCAGCCCCTCCCACACACACACACATACACACAAACACACCGCCGACGCTACCTTGCAGACTCTTGGCGCTGGCGTAGTCCATACTCCAGCTGACCAGTGCCATGGTCAGGCCAAGGAGGACCAGGAAGATCCAGTCCTCCCCCATCTTGGTCACAATGTAGCGCCGGCCGCGGGCCAAGCAATCTGGAGCGGAAATTAATGATTCCATTTATCAGTGCGGCTCGTTTGTGACACTCAGTTGTGGTAACAATCACTGCGAGTAATGATGAGGATGATGAAGAGGTGAAAGACTTCATTAGCGCAGATTAGGGTGAGCATAGATAGCGTGTAGGATCCGATGTGAGCAGATTTTCCTTCTACTGTCAGTCCATTTATCAAGTACGGACATGGCGATGGATTATTCGGTTGATTGACTTTTGTCAGTTGTGCGGATTTGAAGTGGTGGAAGCAAAATTGAGACAAAATGTAATGAAAAAAATTAGATGAGAAAATGAGGAAAAATAGCAATCTATAGTCCGTCTCATGAAAACTTAGCATGAAGCTCGCAGACTTGAGGCAAAGTGCTGCACGAGTAAGTAACATTATTTTTTTTTTAATGATCATTAACTTTCTTGATTGTTGCCTGGGAAAAGTCACATGGGTCAACTGCCTTTTCGTTCGGCGTACTGCATCCGTTTTGACACAAATGTGCTTCCTTACCCTAGTGAGGGCATGTCTATTTATCCTGTTAGTGGCCAACAAAACTCCATCTCGCGATATGAAATACACCGACTGCTAATATTGTCTGCTTGTAGGAAGGCGGCTAGAAAAAGAATTAGCACTAAGTGACAGCCAAGCTATCTTGTGCACAGTTTTGTGGATGGGAAAATAATTTGCGTTCTAGTTTCTGCAGCAATGTAATTGAGAAAAATGCAACTGTACTAAATGGAATCGTCATTTTTTTTTAATGTATCTACCAGACTAGAAAAATCATGTTCAACATGAAAATTGATCAGGATCTAATTTGATAGACACCCACCAGCCATCACACGAGATTACACTTCCACAACCCGATGTGATTCAAAAGAGCTGTGTTATTATGGCGACTGTATCTATTTAGCCTTGACCAAGATAATGCTGCTCACGTGTGTTTTATTACTGTGGCTACATGGGGACGCATCATATGTGACACCACTCTCAATGCGTAACGCTGCGAACAACAGCAACATGAGGAAACGTATCAGTCATCCTTTTTGATCCTGGCATTGTTGGGTCACACGTGATCACAGAGAGGACCTCAGAAATGCATATGGATGGAAATGTGCCGCTGGATATGTTTTGGACAATCGCTGATCTGAATAGATGAGCTACATCAACATACAGTGGTGCCTCTACTTACAAAATTAATTGGGTCTGGAAGAAATTTCTTAACTAGAACTTTTTGTAAGTAGAGACGCGTTTTCCATGTAAATGCCCTAATCCGTTCCAAGGCCCCCCAAAATTCTGACATAAATGTTTTCTAAAGCATAAAAATGCATCAAAATATGCAACAAATACATGTTACAATTACATTCTTGCACAATAAATGAGAATTGTGCGTAATGTAAAAAACAAAGAATAAAGAATAAAAATGATGGTCATTTATATTTTAACTCATCGGTTTTTTTGCCCTCTTTCGTCCATGTTCTCTCTCAGAAGTGTTTTTTGCCTGGCGTTTTGTAATGAACTGATCCAAGGACGTTTGCTTCTGTTGGCTTTAGCAATCCTTCAAGCATGTCCAAGGCAAACATCAGCATAGTGAGCGATCGCCCGACTCGTCAACACTTTATCTGGGTGATTCACATTTATGAGGGAAGAATGATGAGGACGCTGTATCGACACATATCGATCGATCTATCTATCTATCTATCTATCTAGCTATCTATACGCATAGACACATACGGAAGAGGTCCCTCTTAGCCAATGGGATGCCAGGAAGATGCTCGGTAACAGCCAATGGAAGAGCAGCTAAAAGTACAGCATGTTGCGTTCAGGAAACTGGGAGCTGTGAGTAGCAGCCCACACCTTTTGTATTTTGAAATTTCTTTCGTAACAAGAGGCAATATTTTCCTGTTGAGGAGTTTCCTAATTTGAAAATTTCCTATGAAAAGACGGTCGTAAGTAGAGGTCCCACTGTTTTACTCAACAAGGATAACAGCGATAATGCTTGTTGAACAGCCCCGGCGCTCAACCTTGACATTTGGAGTAGGGGCGTGGCTTCTTGGTGGACGAGCTGTGACTGAGGTGTGACTCCAAGACGACGGGGTGCTGATGAAGCTGATGTCGCCGTCCGGCCCCTCTGACCGCCGCCGCGTCGTTTTCTCCTGCCTGCCTTTGCCATTGTCGCTCGGTCAGCAAACGGGCCGCCTCCCGCCGGGCGAAGTTTCCCAGGTGCTCCCTGTACTCCCCGTACAGCTGCGGGCAAAAAAAAGATAACAAAGAGCTACAAATGAATACAGTACATAAATGTTGCTTTGGGGGAACGCTAAAGAATGCTTCAAGTTTCTATAAAGTGAAAAGAAATGGTTTCTGAATTTGACACAGCGTAGAGAAAAGTGACGTGAAGCACCCTGCCAAATTTGAAAGATTACAAAAAAAAGTCACCGTATTGGAAGAAATTAGTACAAATCATAGTTGCCTCTGCTACCTCATCTCCACGAATGCTAATATTAAGCATTTTTTATTTTTTAAATGTTCCAAATTCACTACAATAACTGCACAAAGGATAATTAGCTATTTTTTGACCAGGCTGGACTGGTCGAAAAATAGTCGTCGTCTTTGGGGGCTACCCGGTGCCCGCGGGTAGCAGATTGGTGACCCCTAGTGTAAGGGATACACACCAGCCTGAATACCCTGCTGACAGAAATAGACAAAACGGGCACGGAGATCGGAAAAACCCCTCCCCGAGCGGAGGCCTGTTTGGGACTGCGGCCACACGAGGAGATCCTGGCAGGAGCGACTTGCCACATCTTCCCCTTCCGACGATGTTACACCTTCTACCCCGGTCGCACGCACGCACACACAAACACAACATGACACCTTGCGATCGGTTTGCGCTCGTTAAGAGCAGTGAAGCTGTGAAATCCAGCACATCCGGGCGGGTGCGGGCGCAGGCGCACCGCGTGCAACCCAAACCCGCAAATTGCGCTCGTCCCGTTGATGCCGTCGCCACGGAGCAGAGCGAGATGCTAAAATGATAGGGTCTGCACTTTCGGCTCTCATGTTCACATGGGAAAGGAGAGCTGGCCAGGAGGCCCCAAAGAGGACTGGAGTTCCTCTAACTGGCTATAAATCTCCACTCTCGTTACGCTATAATGTGTAATCGGTAGGATGGAAATGACAGCAAAATCACATGGCGCAGCACTTTATGCAGCTATAGGAACTCGAGTCACATGACTTGACTCGATACGGAACAAGTCACCATTTTTACGACTTTGGGGTCTGATTTATCCATTCCCTGAACCGCGTATGTATCGCCACTAGGGCATGACGAAGATGCGAAATAGCAGGCGCACCTTTGGGTGTTCGCTCCCGCTTTCAGATTGTCCACGCTGTCGCAAAAGCGGTGCTGAAAGTCCCGGCCAAATCCAAATAAATAAATAAATATGAACATCTTTTAAATGTGACACGCAACAGAAAAAAAGCCAAATTCGATTCAAACCATTTTGAGGTATGTGTCCAAAAAAAAAAACAGGACCTCCAAAGTAACAAAAACCTCACGACAGAAAACAAAACACGATACGACAGGAGCACACAGACACTCACACAGCTCACGATGATCCAACAAAGACTGACAAAACTCAGGGAACAAAATACAAGCAAAGTGACGAAACAAACGAGAAACACCTGGACGGGACACAAAGGGTCAAGCGAGCTGATTGGTTAAACACAGGGGACACTGATGACGAGAACGGGCGGCGACAAAAAAAAAAAGGCACATGAGGCTCACAAAACCAAATGTAACCAAAACAAAAACGGAACCGTTACAACGCGCTACCCTTATAACGTGCGGATGAGTGATGTCGCTTGAGGCGCGTTCTCACCAGGTTGGACTGGACATCACACACTATTTATCCACGCCACAACGATGAGGCGCTCGAAAGTGGAAAGCCCTGATCCACACAATGGCTGACAAGTCAGCCCGATATGAGCTGAGAGTGAAGAGTGAAATGACATACTTGCCTTTTTTTTTCCGCACGAGTGACATGCAAGTCAATTAAAGCCAATTTTTGCCAAGATCAAGAAATGCGGCATCTGGAGTTAGTTGCACTGGAGTTTAAAAGCTCACTTCAAAACAATTCATGAGGAGTATACGTTGCCGATGACTATTTCACCGACATCAAATGCGACGCTCTTCCTGTGATTCTCTTTCTCTCTCTGTCTATAAAAGACGATTTTGTATTTCAAATCATGACACGCTCCTCCGCATAATCAGCGCTCCCGGATGGGCGAATCCAAAGTGTGCCCGCGGACTTGATCTGATCAACACATCTCGTTAAAAGTGGACATCATTCGTCTGAGCTGTCGGCATTGAAATACGCACACGCACCATTAACGGTCAAGACCATGAAAAATTCATCACAAAAAAAAAAAAGATTTCAAGAAGATTCATGACCACGACGAAGGTCGGGAGAACTCCGAGCGCCTCGCCCGTCCAGCCTTTCGAGGGAAACAAGCGAGCAAAGAGGGGAAAATAAATCCAAAGTCTTTTCTGCCCCCCTCCGCGTCTTTACCTCATCACTTGACTCGAACATGACTCGGCAGCGTCCGTGGTGGTGCGCCTTGTTCTGTCACCCGTCCGCCTCAACAGTTCCGCTGCGGCGCGCGGCAACGCCGCGCCTCCCATCCGTCAACATCGGCGCCATCAAAGAGGCCGCCGCCGCCGCTAAGCAGGGGGCGACCTGCGCGCCATTCGCAGAAGCGGCAGAGATGGGCCGGCGTGACCTTTGACCTCTCAGCTCAGCCACGAGAGTCGGGCCAATTCAAGGCAACCACATCCTCTCTCTGTGGATCTTTTTTTTTTTTTTTTGAACCTTTGTAATTGTTAAACTTTATTCTCATAACTACGTATTCCCTTATTAGGACTCCATACAAATTATTTATTTTATTTCCAGGCTGAATTATTGAAATAATTGAATCCATGAATAATGTTTTTTTTTTCTTGAAAGTTAATATGAACGTGTAAAAAGAATATGCCCCTGCATTAAAAATTAAACCTAATTTCTGCCAAAAAAAAGGAAGTTTTTTTTTTTTCTTGCAAATGATACCATTTGCAATACATGAGAAAATACACAGCTCGGTAAGTTATTCCGAATGTGACAAAATATTTTTTGGTGCCATTTCCAACTAATTCTACAATCAGTATTGAACCACGGATTTATACACAACTCTATCATAAAAGTTTTCTTTTTCATTTCGCTGTTTTTTTCCATCTTTGAGTTTTGTATTCACAGATCGTTCTTTTTTTTTTTTCAAAAAAAAATAAAGGAAACGGCTCATTTCCTGAAATCACAATCAACTGTGGCATACTTGGATCATCAATCAATATTTGTTGAATCGAACACGGTTTGGCCTTCGATGAGAGAAAAAGTGGTGGTCGATCGATTTGCAATTTTGACAAGACAGAAAGCAGACTGTCCACGACACCCGCATATTTACTGGGTGACCTCAGGGAACGTCAGAAAACAAATGAAAACCTCGACAGCCAAATGTGGGAAAGACATTGAAAGCTCCATTTGTATCTTGGCTGTCTCCATCTGTCAACCTTTTATGTTTACCTCGATACAGTCATGTGACCTTGGGTGTCACTTACGCACCGGCTGGAGCGCCCCAAGGTGACCCCGTGCCAACTTTCACACGCTTCTGAAGTTTGGAGCTGCCGGATATTCGCACACATGGGCTCATTATCACTCTGCCCTTTTACTCCTTTCATAAACTCGACACGGGTAGAAAAGTGGTCGGCCTTAATGTACAGCTCTGGCGCTCAGTAGCTGCAAAAAAAACCCCATTCATCCTCATACCTAGGGACAATTTAGAGTGTTCAATAAGCCCGCCGTGCATGTTTTTGGAATGTGGGAGGAAACCGGAGTACCCGGAGAAAAGCCACGCAGGCCCGGGGAGAACATGCAAACTCCACACAGGGAGGCCGAAGCCAAGATTGAATCCGGTATCTCTGCACTGTGAGGTCGACACGCTAACCACTGGACCGCATGCACACACGCACACACACACACACACACACACACACACACACACACACACACACACACACACACACATATAAAGTATACTGTACAGGTTGGGGGCATTTTTGAACGGTCCCTCTGAGGTTGTATTTGTTTTTGCTGGATCTCAGCCAAGCTAATGAATGCAGTGGCTGAAGGTCAGCGTGACCCTGAGAGTTAATTCAAAGCGTAATTGCACATTCCAGGGCTCCCTCACCAGAGCGGACGCTGCATATTCATAAATTTCTGCGTGTTTGTGCGTACGAGAGCTACACGGCACGCCGATTGTGTGCTGAGGCCTTACAAGAATATAACCCTGTCCCACAGCACAAGGTTAATGATCAAATTTGACCCGCTCACTGACAGATAGATCAGGAAATTACCCCAGCAACGCGCACACACGCATTCCACGAGCAACCATATGCACACCCTAATTAACAGCACAATAACAACACCACGCCTCGTCCAAACACCGCTCAAGCTGTCATGTTTTAATTAATGCGCTAAAAAGAGAAAAGTGTGCGTTTTTTTTTTTTTTTATCCACATGCTACGCCCACAGACATCGCAGAGGCGCAAACGTTCACGTCTCCAATAGAGCAGGAGTGGGTCTATGAAATCACAAAAAAAAAGCTGCTGTGCAGTAAACACTGGCTTATAACATTAGGCACAGCTGCACCATCTCATGTGATCCAGTGCGAGCGACGTGTGACGTATTTTGCTTTTCTGCTTCTAGTTTCGGATGAGCTGTTTGTAACATTTGCCTCGCTTTCCGTCTTCAAAGCCGTTCCACATGCGTGTTGTTGCGGAAATCCCTTTGAGCAGTTATATTCGATACTGCAGACCTGACACCAAGATATTAGCATACAGTTTGGCCTCACTAGTAACCAGTCAACAGTGTTATATTTTTTTTCACAAGTGTATGACATTTCTGCACAGAAGAACGAGTGAGACAAGCATAGGGCATTTACATGGAAAACGCGTTTGTACTTATAACATTTTCTCGTGCAGAAATATCTTCCAGAACCAATCAATTTCGTAAGTAGAGGTACCACTGTACTTGTACCGTACATCCCAAGTAGTGAACTAGTGGTGATAAAGAACATACTAGTACATGGATATCGAGTTCGACATCGAGGATCAAGAACAAAATGATTGAAGCGGATTCACGGAAAGCTCAGAAGTACTAGTAAGACAATTCAGTGCACTCATAGAACAATTAGCGCATACACGTTCCAAGATTGTGTCTTGCTTCCCACCCACCCCAAAAAGTTGAGCAACATAACCTCATATGTGTCTCAGGCCTTACCAGCAACTGATCAACGTTCAGCACCGTCTCAAAGGTATTAATCCTCGCCCGCATCTTTCCCGCCGCTGACTTTCTCGACACTCGCTAACAAGGCGCAATTCCTTGTGCTCACATCACAGTCTTAAATTTGCCCTTGCTCGTCTTTGCCGCGACGGCCTGTTGCCCGCCCGGCCGTACGCACCGCCGTCGGTGACGGACCAGGTCGGACCGGAGCCCCGCGCGCGCACACACAAACACACGCCGAGGTTGATACGGACACCTGAAACTTGACAATCAAGTGTCAGCAGCTCTTAATTCACCGTCCCGCACGCCGCTCCGATCCAGCCGAGTCGTGCGGCGCGTGGTCTAATGGAAGCGGGCCGCGCGCGAGCTTAGAGCATGACAATAACACTTGCTGACTGAGTAGAGACACTTTGACATTGCGCGTGGTACGGAGGGAGGCGGGTAACCGGGTCGAGTGCGGTGTTCGACGCTTGGACACAGCATTCCGACAGTGTTGGATCTGCGGCCTTCTCTTTGAGGGAGGTCCTTGGAAGAAAGATGACAGCAGAGGTCACCATCGAGTGTTTTGTGATGAACGATGGGCTGATTACGAATACGCTCCGCATCAACGCCGCTTGGAACATGATATGGATTCATTCAGGAATTAAAATAAAAACGAATAGTTTTCATGATGGGCAGCGAGGGGGGGGGGTGGCCCAGCGTTCATTCCAAAGAGAGGGAGCAGCAACGGAAAAGGCTCAGTCCCCTCTGAGCCTTCGCTTAGTTCTTGGTACCTCTCATAGTGTCCGGTCTGCAGACCTGAGGCACTGGGCAGGGGCGGCTGAGCTCAGAGAGGTCAGGTGGGGCGAGGCCATTTCAAGATTGGAAAACAAATAACAGGCTCTTGAAAAAAAAAAAAAATAACCCTCAAATAAGCCAGTGAAGGGATGCCAGAGGAGCAGTTGTGCGCTCCCTCTTACGAATATCAGTCAAGAGGTAAGCGGCAGCATTCTGGACCAACTGGAGACACTTCATGGAGGATTGGCTGACTCCAAAGTCAAGTGCATGAGAGGAATCCAGCCGAGATGCGACAAAGGCATGAATGGCTGTTTCAAAGTGCGCTTGCGAAAGGAGAAGCGTGACTTTAGCCAGCTGCCTGGGATGAAAGAAGCTGGACTGTTGTCGTCAAATGAACGAAAAAGCAAAGACTTTTCAATGCTACCTGTTCCGAGACACACAAGGTTCAGTAAATGGGGTCGAGTCTCATGATGACGTTTTATATTGGTCGGCGCTCTCCTGCAGGGCTGCTTCTTGAAGCAAACTCACAACAAAATCGTCCTCGCTGACCTGAGATGACGTCGGCATTTTTCCGTCCTCTGATCGGTTAGTTTCCAACATTGCGATGCGATCGTGGCGCTTTCAGAAGGTTTGGATTAGCCATACCTGGGCCATCAGTAGCTTGCATTTCGCCTTCCTCTCTCAGTCTTCAGCCCAAAAGCCCCCCCAGACCCCCACCCACCCACCATCACCCCTTCTTGTCCCCTTCCATCCGAGCCCCCTCCCCGGAGGTGAAACCTTACTCGTGGGTAAATTTAGCACACGGTGTGACCCAACGTTCACTGACACACTTCTCCACACCTCTCGCTCGCTCCCCGACAAGCGCTCATCCCTCCCACGAGGCCCGACGCACTGAAAGATGGCGCGTATTAACCTTTTGTCCAAAACAATGACAAGTCATTTGATGTTGTGTCACTGCAGATTGGCATTTCGTTTTTTTTTTTTTTTTTTTTTAGGAAGGTAGCGAGGGGGGGGGGGGGGGGGGGGAATCAAATGGCCTGAGGATCACGTGAAGTTTTAATGGCTTAATCGCTCGCATGGCAGTCGAGCTGCTGCGAGACATTTGGCAAGTGAACATTATCCCTTTTGCTCGCACGTAACATCTGAGACTTACAAGATCTATTTCGCTATCCATGACAGCCCCACCGCGTGCGACCCGTCCCCTTGAACAACATTTGTTTTTCTGACGGATACAAAGCCGGCGTGGCTTTGTCCTTGTTGATGTCATCGATACCACTTGACAGCGCCATCAGACAACAATTTACGTTGTCGGCGATAGGAATGATTCCCGGCTCATGAGTTGCGCCATGTGCCGGCCTAAAAAGCACGGTCAAAATTTCTTCGTTGGATCCGGGACAAACATACACAAGGAAGGCTTTTCCGTCGTTCTCAGAAGCTAATTCAGCCTCGTTGGTTTCTCAGTTGGCAATGTTAGCAAGACCAACTGTTTGGACGACAAGTGAGGCCAACTCGGTTGCTTGCTCTTAAACATGCCAACGGTCACATCATTTTGTTTTCTTCCGTCACTAAGAGGAGCAAGTTATCCAAATTTATTTCTACTTTTGTACTTGAGCACATCTTAAGAGTCGGAACTTGTTCATTTTTATTGAAATACGGGAGTTGAATCTGTACTTCTACTTTTACAACATTCAATAACTTGCGCTAACACGGTCGTTAGCATTTAAAATATTCAGGAATCAAGTGCGTATACAACTATTTTTAAAAAATGTATTTAAAAGCCAGATTGTATTGCGCTACACTTAATGAAAATTTTCCAGCAATATGATTTATTTTCCGGATGAAATAAGACTGATGCTTTCAAGCTACAAATTGTCCGAAAACAGTCATCATAACTTGCTATCGTGTGAATACATATTCTTAGGCTGCTTCTTAAATGACACCACTGCACACCTTTACTAAACTTAAAACATTTGTAATCGTACACAATCTGAATGATTTAGAAGAACAGCAATATTGAATGACAATTTGAGTTGACATCCTAACAAATGTGGCAAAACGTTGACCCGGGCTACTATTTCAACAGTTTAAAAACATTTTGCCTATGGCAAGGCCATTTGGTCGCTTTTAATGAGATCAAATAGCTTTGTACCAAATACAACAAAGAAGCATTTGCAATTGAATGAGGCCTGGAAAAAAAAACATGCGTGCATTCATTGGCAGCGCCAAGACCGTCCAGCCAATCGGAATGTCCCTCTGAAAACATGAACATGACTTCAAATGTGTGATGCCGTCACTGAGGAAATCCAGGCAGTCTTTCCCTTCGACGTGATCGACACGCGCCTGAAACACCTCTGCGCGTGAAACCCCTCAAATGTTACGACGCTCTAATTTCCTCTCGTCAGCAAACGCAACATGGTGGCTCCCACACCTGCGAAAACCTCAGCCGGAGAAACTGAACGAGCCCGATCAACCATTTTGCATTGAAAACACGTTTTGAGGGGGCGATCGGTCATGCTGGCCAATTGTTTTACAGCAATGGGACCGTTTCTTGAACTCATTTCAAAGTAATCCTGACTGTCGTCAGTGCGCTGCGCCTCGTTGACCTCGGCATTTTCCAGTCCTCTGATTGCTTGGTCAGAGCAAAACCGGTTGACTCCCAAAACACATCTGGAGTGACCTCCTAATCCATTTTATAATCAGCATGTCAGGTGAGTATGGTGTATTTGATTCAAAGTTTTTTGATATATATATTATTCGATCAATATTTCTAGACGAAGTAAGTTGCACACTTCGTATCGAATTAAAAGTTTCTGTGATTCTGATGTGGCAAAGTACCAAACGCCAGTCACGGCTAAACCCGGAAATAGCATTCTTCTGTACGAGCGATGGGGGGAAAAAAATGCTGACATGACTTTTTAGCGTGCGCCTCCGAACCCGTCTGATCAGGTATCCCGAATGTTGGTACTTACGTCCGCCGGCACGTGAAAACATTAGACAGCTTGCGGGGGATGCGCGGACGGCACAAGACGACGGCGGCAAGGAACTGAAGAATGTTTACTGAAGCAACTTGGGAAGTTATTAGAAATAAAAATGACGGCTTTGTGTTCATCACCTTCAGGCAAGTGTTTCACCACATGTGAGGAGACAGCCCCCCTCCTCCCTAAAATCAAACACATGCAGTTTTTACCCCCCCCACCCCCCCAAAAAACTGCCCTGACAAGAAATGTTTTTTTTTTTTTTTTTTGCACCAAGTTAGGGTGAATGCTAAAAGGGAAGGGTTGGGGGTGAAAAGCGGTGCTACAGGTGGGAGATGTGTTGCAACAGCTGGAGGAGCGCCAAAGAAGAAGGGAGAAGCAAGGCAAGCAAGAAGGTAGAAGAGGATGTGCAAAGACCTACCAAGGTCTGTTGGTATCTCAGAGCCTTCCTTTGCGATGCATCTGTAGCCATTGACACGCTGTCAGTGATCCAAAAATAACCTCGCCGGACACCCCAGCATTTCCACTGGCATGGACCAGCGACATGCGACAAACTCCACACGCTCGCACGGCAATCAAGTCAAATGCGCACGCACGCCGCCGCCATCCGTTTCACCCCCCATTTAGAAAGACTCAAGGTGCTGCTGGTGGTCTCGGTGGCGGTTTCCAGGTGGTCCGCAGGCCGGGGCACATCCGGCGTGGGCTGCAGGACCGACGGGCTGAGAGAAATCAGACAGGCGGACAAAGCGGAGCAAAGCCGTCTGATGAGGCAGCGAAGGACACTTTCCTTTATTAGAACTGCAGACACCTAATAATACACACACACACACACACATATATATATGCACACTCATGCACACACACTTGTTGCTCTTAGTAGAACCCTCCCTGCCAGCCGGCCATTAGAGGTGCTTGCCGATTCATTTGAAGGGGAGGTGGCGGGTGGGGGTATATTGGTTTGGTGGTATTGAGGGGTGGGCAGGAAGATGCACATGACACCCCCATGACAGCTCACATCGGCCAATGATGCAGGGGCAATCCCCATAACGCTTCAATGCCGCGCCAGTAAATGGTGACCCCCCCCCCCAAAAAAAAAAAAAACATGGAGGCTTGGACAGCACCAAGTGGAAAAGCTAACAGGGTTGTTGTTGTGACATTCCCGTCAAGGGTCACCACAGGGAGTCGCTTGCATGATTTGTTTGGCACATTTGAGGCCCGTCTTTTTTTTGTATCCATGTTGGGACTGGATTGGGGCACTGACAAGGTCACAGAGCAGGACTCCAGGCTCACTTTTTTTTGGGGGGGGGGCTGCATCAACTGCATCACATAATTAAAAACAATGTTTTTTTTTTTAAATGCTTGAACCAAATGGAGGCTTTCAGAGTGGTGGAGGCTTCCTCCCCAGCTACTCGAAAGGCTGTTGCGCACTGGTGCGCCCTCTCGTTTTTTTTAGGTGTACTGTTGAGAATGTAGGAGGCCCAAATCTTTTGCACAACTTGTCTGATCCGTGACTTGACGAACACATTTGGAAGGATAGCCACTTCTGTACCTTTCGGTTCTTCTTCTGGTCTCTGTTGCAACATGCTGATGACGCTCGCTGACATTCTTAAAACTCGGCTCGCTTGCCCCCATTTAAAGTTAAAATGCGAACAGCATGACGATGACGACGCTTTCAGTTGCACCAATTGTGATTTCAGCAGTCGAAATTTCAAGTCAGACTCCAGTCAGGTCACGCGACTGGACCCCCCCCCCCCCCCTGATGCCATCAGTTTGACCGTTGAAGGGATGTCCAGTCAATGTCTTTCTATGCCTTTCGGTGGGAAAATTGTTGAAAAATACCAACAACACAGAAGTCGTCCGCCTTCCCCGAATGCATCACGTCCGACCTTCGAGGTTTCTCTGTGGGCCGCTGAGGCAACATCCCTTCACATGTGTGCGCGTTGGTCATCTGATGACTTCGTGTACGCTGCCATCATGACAACAACAAAGGCACGGACACATGCAGATCCCCCTTAACCCCGAGCCGCTTTGTGGTTCACGCGCCGGCGCATAGCAGCCTAATCTCGCAGCTCCGCGGCAGGCCACAGTAAAAAAATGTATTACTCTGACCGCCGTGGGGCGGGGCGTGCGTGTGTCAACAAGGAATGACTCCGGACAGCTGGCCTGGGCCTCCATCTGATACACCCTGAATATTATCACTGAGCGGCGGGAATGACACATGTCGTCCCGGAGCACGGAGAGACCTGAGCGCGGCGTTATAGCGGGCGGGCCAGTTACACTACACCTGAGCACAGCGAGGACGCGCAGTAACGCGGGCAACAACACGCACACAAACACAGCAACAAGGCGGATCACATGCAGGGGAGAGCACGCGAGCGGCCAGCAGTGAGCGGCATTTGGCGCGTGGACAAGCGGCGTCAGAGAGGTTCCAGGACTGGTGTCACAAAAGCTGTTTTTCCAATCCGAACTGCCGCTACACATTTTTCGGCTCAAAGTAACCCCCACCCCGAGTCCCCGGAGTCGAAACGCCATTCTCCATCTCTGCCAGGCCAGTACGCGTTCCCTAAAGGATTCTGCCTGGATTCTCCTCAGCTCCGTTGTCATTCCTTCTGTACTCATAACGACTAACAGATCCTTGTAGATGGCGGGCATTGCATTGCTGCGGATTGGAGATCAGCACAGCTTTTGAGTAGAGGAAACGATTAGGGGGTGAATCTTGCCTTGCCATGTCAATTGCAAGAGAAAGAAATGCAGGGTTACTCCAGCAGGGTGATGTTCCTTTCACCCGGGAACTGTCAGATGCTCAGGGCATTGTGACCAGGCGTGTTGCCATGGTGAAGCAGCCGAGAATTATCTTGCAATTCACTCTGGCCTGGTCTCACTCACTGAACGAAGACTTGTCATTTGGTAGTTGGAAGCCAGCTTTCGTGACACCACTCCTGAAACTTTTCTGCCTCACCTTGTACACAGCACAGGAGCTGAACAGAAAGCACCATCTCGTTGATGCACATTAGCTTGTTTATTGTACGGAAGACTTGGCAGTCATCAGCGATGACAGAAATAAATCCTCCCCCCCTCCCGTCCCCGCACAAGAGTTTGGCAGCAAATCACATCCTCTTGCTGTGCGGTGACCCCTTCACCATTCTCTTTTCCAATCATTAAAACCAATACTCAAGAAGAACACATGAAAGCAGCGCTTTGTAGAGCCTCTCTGGTCACAACTCAATACTGTTTTGTAGTATGGTTCTCCACAACACTGTAACCAAAAACACGTTGCCTCTGTGGCTTTTCTGGGAAACATCAATGACCACCCAGCATTGACAAATGCTGGGTGGTCATTGATGGTACTGTGAACACAACTCATTATTTATCCAATAAACTGCACATTTCTTTAAACTCTCCGGAAGACGTGAGATGTACTTTTGTCACTATATCCCATCGATAACAGAAAATATCAATGCTAAAAGAGAAGCGCGATTCGGTGTCAGCATTGGCGTAAAGATCAAAGTTCACACTGTGGGCGGAAGGCCCGAGGAGTAGCACGCTTGCATTCCCCTGATGTTTACTGTTTAAAAGGAAATATTTACAACACAAACAATTGTCTCAGAAGTAAAAGCAGGTCAGAGGGATTTAGCTGAATAAAAGGTGACACCGTCATCACAGTAGGAAACGTTCTGGAATGTTGGAGCACTTCCTATTTGGTGTGGAGGTGAGGGGTGGGGGCGGGGGCACTTCTGCACTAACCTTATTGCTCAATGCTGCCCTCTGCCTCTCACTACTGTGGACTGCAACATGACAACTGACGGTGAAGCTGAACAAACACATTAAAACGCTGGGGTTAATTTACAAAAACCTTCAAAAATAAATTTGTACAAAACAAAAATAGATCTGTGTAGAAAATACATTTTACAATTATAGCCACACAAGGGGATTAACGCCCCCGACACACGGCTCAATTTTTCTACGCGGTGAGATGTCAAACATGTCGATTAGCATAAGCTCACCAACATCGCTGAGTGAATTTTGCTGAGGCAGTGTCAACATAAAAAATGTGAATGAATAAATGTTTGGATGCCAGTTTGTATGTGTGTGTGTGTGTGTGTGTGTGTGTGTGTGTGTGTGTGTGTGTGTGTGTGTGTCAGCCTGTAACACTGGAATGCAAAAGTGTGTGGCAGTAATACGCTTGGAATGAGGGGACGTGTGAGCACACTCGCGGGGACGGCGTGTGTGTGTGTGTGTGTGTGTGTGTGTGTGTGTGTGTGTGTGAAAGTGCATTATGAAGAGTGGGGCTGGTATTTGGGGAAAAAGTAGAGGTCTTTGCACAGCGAGCTGGTGAACTCGGACATCTCTTTGCAGCGATGGTAGGGCGTGCCGGGGGCGTAACCCTCGCGCTCTTTGATCCGCCCGTTGACCTGCGGGACGAAAGGGAGTCAGTACCAATGCGGTCATTGTCTCTTCTTTCTTGCTCATTTCTGCCTCACGACCAATGAAAAGCTACAAATAATTGGCACCCCCCCCACCCCTTAAAAAAAGGGTCTGCAGTTCCATACAGTAGAGATGTCACAAGATGGCAGCAGGGCACTGAAAACAGTGAGGATCTTAAAGCACCAGTGCCATGTTTCTAACATGTACACAGTCACAAATCCATGTTACATGATTGACGATCTGAAGTCAATTATTCAAAACAAACAAAGCGCCCTGGCATGAGGCTCATCGAAAATATTAGCCAGCATGCACGTAAATTAGCGAATGCCGAAACGTGCGGCGAGTTCGCCGTCCGTGGAAGGCGTGCTCACCTGCACCAGGATGTCCGCCATGTGGGTGTCTCTGGCGTGGAGGCGGAGGGCAGAGTTGAGCTCCTGGATGAACCAGGATCCTCGCTTGGTGTTGCGCATGGCCGCCGTGCCTTTAAGAGGAACGCAAACAAGAGCGGCTTCATAACACAAACACGCAATGAGCTGAGACGCAAGGACGCCGGGAAAAGCCGACGCGGCTGCAAATAAACGCACGGTGCAATTGTTTGTTGTTTTTTTTTTGGCGTCAGTGACATGGGCTAATGGTAAATAAAGAGAGGTGTCTCAAAACATTGTGAAGAGAATCCCAGCAGAGAGAGAACAAATAACAGGTCTCGCGCCGCAATATGTTTACAAGAAGGTGTTAATGCGAGTGAGATGAGCGAGCCCAGAGGAACCCGTGAGCCGCCACATGACGCATTCCGGGACGCTTGCTGATCTTCCCGTTCGTTTGGATTCAGAACCCGTTTTGACTCCATTTCATTTCCCGATGTGAGGTCTTTAAAAATCATTTTCAAATATTCTCAATCACACATGAACACGAACCGCTTGGTGCTCAAGTGCAAAGCCCTCCGAGATGAAACAAACCACGGCGTGCCACAAAATACAACAATCTCTGGCAAACAAAGGGCTGAGTGAACAATTCAGAGCGCACCGCAGGAAGGTTTGTTTTCAACATGATACCGTTTTTGACCTGGTTTTGAGCAAGTTCATTTTTAGGCTCTCCCGTCATACTGCCGGAACCCACTTTCTGAGAACCGGCCATATCAGAGAACGAAGCCCAGTACGAGTTCCCAGCTACGCCCGTGAAAGAGGATCAAAAAAGGGGACAAACTTACAAATTCTCTGACCTTTGAGAGAGGCAAAGCCGCATATCATGTCAGAGCGCTGGGGCAGTTTAATCCTGGGCAGTCCGAGGTCTCCTCCCTGTCGAGCGCCAGCGGCCGGGGGGCCTTCTCGCCCGGCATCCCGCTCTTCACAGCTGGGTGAGCTGGTCCTTCCTGGCCCATCCACCTGCTCCACTCCGCAGTCCAGCTGCTCTACGAGATGGCAAGATAAGCACCATTAAGATTTTGGTCTTTTTCAGTGAGCGATGGGTGCCCCCCGCCCTCGACTGCAGTTAAAGCGGACAACCGCACCTCGTGGCAATTGGGTGCCACATCTGTGGGGTGGGGCTAGTTGGAGAGCGAAAGGGGCCGTGATGAAATGATTGCGGTGACTCGCAAGGGCTCGGCAGATTTGCGCAAGGTGATTTTAAGCTTTTGTAGCAGCATCGAGACTCATCCAGACTTTACCCTCAAAATAATATTGAGGGTAAAGTTGACACACATTCAAGTTAGAAAAAAAAAGACTAAGTACAACACAAAGCTGGCAACTCTTCACTTGGTGAGGGAATGCTAAGGAGAGTTTGCGGGTCTGGATTATTTTTGTTATTTGATGTCAAATGTTCTGTAAAGCTCTTTTCGCAGTCGCAGCTGTTGTGAAAGCACGACAGAAATCAAGACGTACCGCATTGCATTTTAAGAATTCATTTCCACAAACGCACTTCATGTGTGCGTTGACATAGATCACAATGTGAAACCAAATGTCAGAATGTCCTTGTGGAAAATCTCATGGATTCGGCTCATCTCATCAGAGCAGGTTGTACCTTGTTGTTCTTATTCAGACTTTATTTTTCACTTTGCCCCTTTGCATCCGGAGGTCGGCCACTTGTCTGTGGCATGCCAATGTCGACTGCATGTGCCCTTCTTTACCTCCTCTGCAGGCTTGGATGAGAAACATCTTTGGTTTGTTCTGTAGCAGCGGGCAGCGGACGTTGTCGAAGGCCTCAAACACCCACTGAAGCTAAATATGAACAAATGACACCGTGTGGGTGGCGGGTCAGATGTCAATATCAAGTTTTTTCTTTTTTTTTTTTAAATGAGCGCTGAACAAGATGACGGCGCACCTGCAGGAGCTGGCCGTCGGTGCCGTACACAGCTCCTTCCTTGCCGTGGGAGAGCAGACAAACCACGCAGCTGTGCACCGTGCGGTGCTCCGGGCGCCTGCTGAAGGTCTCGATGCAACTTCTCATTTCCTGGGGAAAATAAAGACGCGACAAAAAAAAAAAAAAAGGTTCATTTGCGGCCGCGGTTAAGGCGGAGGCGGCGTGGGCGAGACGGCGTCACCTCGGCCGTCAGATCCCTGCGGACCGTCACCGCATAGTCCAGATCTGCAAAAAGCTTCCGGAGCACCTCTTCGTCCACCTCGCCTCCCTTCCTGGGGTCAAGGTCGGCCGCGGTGCGCGGGTCAAACGTCACGTTGCTGATCACCAGCGCTAAACCGCGCGGGGATGAGGTCATTACATAGGACTGCAACACAGTTGAGGGGGGGGGAGGCTGCAGTCATTTGGCATGCTGTGAAACCCCTCAAAAACGTTCATCTTATTATGCAACTATGACCTAAAGTTAGTTTTCCCTTGTCTTTAATCATCTTCATTTTACTTACTGGTCTAGAAAAAACTCGGAGGCCAATAAAATACTGGACCATTTGGTTGATATCGTCCATATTTTATTTTCTTTAAACGACTGCTCCGAAAGACAATCTTTGTATTTGAAATGTATGACGTCGTCAGTGTGCTCATTTAACGCAAACATATAGCTTGGACAGCAAAATCAGGGAAACTGATCATTTTCCAGTGCATCTTCATTTTATTTTAGTGCAGTATATCACTGATGTGTCCTGTGTGGCAGCAATTCATTGCAATGCTTTTTTTTAAGGACTACCTAAAATTGTTTCCTATTCTATGAAGGAGAGACGTCTCAAACTTTGGCGTTTTGGGGGATAATAGCACCCCCTTGTGGAGTCAAGCTGATAAAGCTCAAGTGAATTCAAACTAGTTTGAGGTCAACCATGTCCTCAGAATTTTCAATTGGAAGCGGGGTCATAAGCAGCGAGCACACAGAGATCATACAAGGGCATCACCGATGCCTTTGCATCAAGGAAGGCCAGAAGGCAACACTTTTAAATTAATTTCACGATCTGAGTCTCGTGCTTCTACTTCTTTCAAGTCAGTTATTGAGTTAGGTGATCACATTTTTTTCCTTGCGCTATAAAGGGTGGCCAACGATCTGGTTGTTGTGCTTTGCATAAGTTGCGTTACCTTGAGGCATTGCGAGAGGTAGAGGTCATGCGTGCAAGGGAGCACAGGAGCGGTGATGGGGCTGTCTGCATCCAGGCTGTACTCCATGTACTCTGAAAACAAATGAAGACGCACCTATGTTGAAACTCAAAACACAAAAAAAAAGTATTTGTAGTCATGCTCAGTTTTCAAGCACGCCATCAGAGCAAAAGCGATTCTCCTCGTCTTGTCAGGTTAAATAAGGTCAACAACTAAGTTGTACAAATAATAAGATTCGACAGGGGTGCCTACTGTTGTGGCCGGTGAGTGTATTAAGTCACACTAACAGGTTTAAGATGACAAAAGTCCGTACTACAAGACCGTACATGAGTCACTCACAAGGTGTGGCACCCGCACTCCCTTTCAGTAATATGATACATACGCAATGAAGACACTGAGAAGAATATGCAGCATATTCCAACTTTTTTTCCCTCTATTTTTTTTAATTAGTCAGCTCCTGAATCTGGACACGAGACAAACGGGTTGAAATGGAAAAATATTGACACAGAGACACTTGTGCCATATGCCGCATCCCACCGTGTGTCCTCGCCCGTTTGGCTTCGATTTCCTCCTGGGTGGAAAATGGAAGAGAGGAGTCGCCATATCTCTGAAATGAAGACGGACTGTTTGAAGTTACAGCAACCAAAGTGAAATGAAAGATTTTCTTGATTTGACGAGTGGAGTGACCGTACGTTGGATTAAGAAAACAATCGCCCTCTTCATAAAGGAAGTTTGGCATTTGCGATTTTGCCTAATCTGCCCATTTTTGGCCTGTTCGCTTCAAATCTTGTCTACTCGCCGTTTTTTGTGGTCAGGCCAAAGTGACAAAATGATTATGTTGGCGCCTTTGGGTGGAGCCTTGGTGTTATTGTTAGCTGATGTCTGCACTGGAGCTTTACTGAAAAACATCATCCAGTTTACAAATACATAAATGCTCACTGCGAACAAAACAATCTGCTAACATCTATAAAGCAAACGTCCCACAAAGAGAGAGCTTTGCAGATTTCTCCAATGTACAGGCTGGTGAGTGACTGTCCTCAATGACGGACGGGCTACTTAATCATTCACAAAAGGATCAAGCGTGAAGGAGGGAAGGTGGCGCACCTCTCTCCTCCTCTCCGATGTCTGAATGAGCTGCCGTCCCGCCCGTCTTTCGCACTCCTCCTCGGGCTGAAGACACAGTGGCCGCAAAAGCCGAAACGATTATTACCTTGGGAGGGGAGGTGTTGACCGATTGCCTGATTAAGCGTTCACTCACTTGTGTCTCTTTGCCATCCTTCTCCTGCGACAGCGCGAGCAGCTCGCACAGGTGCCGCTGCTCGGTTTCTCTCAGTGCTGAGCAGAAGCTGCCGAAGGCTCGCGGGCCTCGCTTGGGCAGGAGCAGCAGCAGACGCCAGCTTCGCTTCTGGGACGTTTGCTCGGCCTAAGGAAATTGCCCGTCAGAAACATGACAGGGGTCAAAAATGTAGTAAAAATCGATGGGATGCTTGCAGCGATTTGTACTTCGCAAACTTATGCCTTTTCTCCGTGGTGTGTTTTATACCAAGTGTTGAGATAGTTTTTGTGTAGACTCGTTGAAATCACAAATTTACCTTGCGGATTATGAGATGTATAATTCATTAAAATCCAGTGGTGTTACTTGTGGTCGTAGTTCTGAATGCAGATGGAAAGTAAACAGCCCAGCATAATTTCTGGAGTGAATTTGGAGGCATCAGAAGGCAAATTATTATTTTTTTCTGGTTCAAAGTGTTTTGGTTAGATGCAAAAATAACATTTTGTGTTCCCGGTTGCAGTAGTTAATTGATTTTGTAAATGCACCACACAACAGTTCTTTTTCTGTTATCCTGACTTAAGATATCAAAGGTGTATTGTAACTCCAGGTGTGTTTTTTTTTTTAACTGACAAAATTTGAATTTTTCAGGTTACCGACCACTGCGTTGAGCATTTTAGAGTGTCGCATGAAATGACAGTGAAGGGTTTGTTGACTATTTCCACCAGAAAGTACGTGTGTGAAGTCACAGCGAACCAGTGTGCTGAAAACACAAACCTACCAGGATGCCCTCAGCCATGCTATCGGTGAGGATGTTGTCCTCCAGCAGAAACTGAATGAGCAGCTCATCAACTACCAGCTGCTTGCACAAAGAAGCACTCCGCAGAGCGACTCGGTGCATCTCCAGCATGCCACACTCCCGCATCTTGCTAGAACAAACACACATCATGTCTTTTTTTTTTTTGGTGGGGGGGGGAGGGGGTAACTAAGGGGTTATGGTAAAGACAGGCTATGACTTGTTGATGTTCCGCACTTTCGATTTAGCACCCCGATAGTAACAAGTTCAAAAAGACTTTGCAGAGTCTCGACGTTGCAAAACACAAACATGAATACAAACTACATTCAAACTGGAATTGCGGTTGGTTAGCAGCACCAGTCTGGGAAAAGCGATCCGCACACGCTGACAGCGGTGGCTAACTCAGCACTCGGCAGTGAGGGAACGCGGCGCTAGCTAGCCGAGCTTCGGTGAGGGAAGCAAGCCGCCTTTCTCTCTCCTACCTTCAAGCGCTCTTCCGCTGGTGCACCAAAGTAATCAAATTTTGCCGAAGAAGGGCGACCAAATGTGGCCGTTTTTCGTTATTTCCACGTCAGAAAACGACAGCCCCCACCGACGGACCGACCGCCCAACTTCCTTAGGTATCGGTAACTGAAATGTGACGGGGCGGGGCCAGAAACTTATTGTTTATTATTTGCACCAATGAAAGCGCGCAAAGCTTGATTGACATAAAGTTTGGCCACTCAGGCCTTTTCTTGACGTCATACAAACGTTGCTGTATTGGCGGGACATTGAATGTGGTGGGAACACCTTGTTGAAAAGAATATTTTAGAGTGGAGAGAACAGCGGGAGGTTCAGAAGTAGATTTTTTGAACTCTGCCTTTAACATAAAATGCCTTGCCAACCCGGGAAAGCCACAATTTCCCACTTTTACTAGACTAATGTAGTCTTCTCGGCTCCCTCTGACTCAAAATTGGAGCCAGTAACCTCTGAAATGAGAACTTGTCCACCTCTCCTGTATTGCGGCAGCCCAACACCGCACAGTAATTCGTCATTGTTTATGGCTATCAAATTGATCTCTCGAAACACAGCAAAATAATGCAACCACGTTCAACATGGCCGCAGCGGGCGTGTCCAGAGGCGCACGGCATCAAGGGGAAACTACAGTGGTACCTCTATTTATGAAACTTATGTGTTCTGGAAGAAATTTCTTAACTCAAAAATTTTGTAAGTAGAGACCCGTTTTCCATGTAAATGCCCTAATCTGTTCCAAGCCCCCCCCACCCCAATTCAGACATGTTTTCTAAAGCATAAAAATGCACCACAATATGTAACAAATAGATGTTACAATGAGATTATTGCGCAATAAATGAGGGTTGTGCATAATGTAAAGACAGTGAATAGAGTAAAGAATAAAAATGATGGATAACTTTTAACTGCGCCCTCACCGTTTTTTTTGTTTGTTTTTTTTTTTTGCCCTCTTTAGTTCCTGTTCTCTCTCAGAAGTGGTTTTTGCCTGGCGTTTTGTGAAGAACTCATCCAAGGACGTTTGCTTTAGTCGACTTTTAACAATCCTTCGAAAATGTCCGAGGCAAACATCAGCATAGTGAGGGATCACCCGACTGGTGAAAACTTTTTCTGGGTAATTTACATTTACGAGGGGCGAATACCGATGACTCTGCATAGACACAGATAGACAGATCTATCTATCTACACACAAAGACACATTCGGTCGAGGTCAATCTTAGCCAATGGGATGCCAGGAAGATGCCAGGTAACAGCCAACGGCAGAGCAGATTTAAGCATGTTGCGTTCAGGAAACTTGGAGCTGGGACGAGCAGTCCATACTGTATATACAGTAGATTACCGTATAATTTTACCTTTCATATCTTGAAACTTCTTTCGTAACAAGAGGCAATATTCTCCTTTTGAGGGGTTTCGTAACTTGAAAATTTCGTATGAAGAGACGTTCGTAAGTAGAAGTACCACTGTATCAGTCGTTCCTCATTGGGTTGTGCAGGTGTGCCTTACAATACGCCATGCTCGGCTTCCCCCCACGTGTCTCATTGAACCTCTGCTCTAAGACCGACTTCACCCTCCCCTGCTGTCTATCTCCTCACCCTCACTGTGTGCTGTCAATAATTGATGGTCTTTAGTGACTCTCAAAGGGTAACAGGTCCGGCAGAAAATGTCTCATGTGTCATTTTTTTATTTATTCACAAGTCGGTCTTGAAGCTCGGAGAAGTATATCGCCGCGTTTGCTTTGCAGCCAGTTGGATGGATATGCAGGCGCTGTTTTGCTTGCACCTGCGCGTGACCGTGAACGAGCCGGTTCGTGCTGCGTGAGTGACAGCGGCGCGGAAGGAGAGGAAGGGAAGCTTGAAATAAGTGGGTGGCGGGGGGTCGGCCAGGGGAGTGACGGAATTATTGAGTGAATTAATTCAGCCTTTGCCAGCCCTGATTGACTCGAGACCGCAAACTTGCAGTACAGTACAAACATGGGGGAAGAAAAGAGAGAAGAAACGGTCTTCCCGAGAAGGAGAAGTTTCACTTTCGGGGCTTACGGAAGGTGAGTCAACACTGTTCCAACTTTGTATTCGGACTGAATAATGAACACGCACTTTGTGTGTGAGCTTTTCTCACCTTGGTGTTGACAGCCTGGACATATCCAGGAGGGCGGCGGGGTGAGGCTTTATTCCTCATTGATCGATGCACTTTTGACCTGACTTTCCACAAGAAGAAGAAGCCAATGAGGAATTTCACTTTTGTGAATGCACCTGTTGCTGCAGAGCCGAAGCCGCCGAGGGCAGCGCGACGGACATCTTGGACTCCCCGCTCGCTGACAGCCAGCCAACCCTCTCGGCGAGCAGCAGCCAGAAGGAAACGGAGCTGTTTGAAATCATTGAAAAACTCCAGGTAGGTTTTTGTGACGTGCTGCGGGAGCCAAGTCCGAGGGAAACTTTGTCATCAGTGCCTCTTGGGTGCATCAGGGAAGCAGACTCGATGAGCAGCGATGTGAATTCCCACTGCCTCTGAAGGTTAGTCCAATTATTTAAAAAAAAAAAACCCAAAAACGTGCTGATTTGATTCTCTAATCAAGCAAGGCGGCCCCTCATCATGGTCTGCTTTAGTCTCAGTTTTTGACAATAGGCGGGGAGCTGCCAATCATCCTCCCGGCGAAGCTTGGGGGCTACTGGATAGACCCTCCTTTGGCGAGGCTTGCAGATGTCGGTCTTAGCTCCTCTCATCGCAACCTCCCAGCAGACAGCTACGAACTCATGGAAAGGGACGGCGAGGCCAACATCTACCGGGACTTCTTCCGCTCACGGGTCAGTCGGCTTCATGATGCAGAGCTGTCGTTTTCATTTTTTGCTCCCTTCATGAAAGGAGAGAGTACAATACAAAATCATCTTCGCCGCTTCTATCCTAACTTTTGAATCAGCACTTGCTATTATGGGAAGGGTATGGAAGCGTCTTGCATTCACTTGGAAAAAAAACTTGTTATTCTGAGTATTTTTTTGGGAGGGAGGGGCTTTGTCTTTGTCTGTTTTATGAAAAAAAATCCTGTTTTTAATTTTTTTTTCCTGTTTTGGGGATTTTTTTTAATTCCTGTTTCTCAGAATTAAATATTTGTTATTAATATATGTTTGTTATTAATATATGTTTTTTGGAATTTTCTCCCCCATGGAGATACACATTCATTCGTTCCTACATTGAGGGAGAGCTTGTAAGCAAACATGACCGGCTTTTTTTGTTTAATTAAGTTTTATTTTTATGTTGGTTTAAGACACTGGCAGATACTCCTGTTTTTGAGTCACATCGATGGTATTATTATTATTATTATTATTAGTTTGACAAAAAAACATTCTGTAAAACAGAAACTCATATTTGCTTTTTTTGAAATATTTTTTGTTTGTTTTTCCCAAAAATATTTTCCTGTTTTCTGGAATTTGTTTTCAATTTTTCAGAATTATTTTTCTGTTTTTGGGAAAAAAAATCAGTTTTTGAAAAAAATGTTTTCTTCTTTTCAGAATTTATACTTTTTTTATTGACAGAATAAAATGATAGAAAAAAACCGAAAAAGTATTCCATAAAACAGAAACCAATTAAAACAAAAACAAAAAAAATGCAAAGCCCCCCGGCCACCCAAAAAATATATATTTATACCCAGAATGGTACAAATTCAATAACAACGCCATATCAATGATGACCTTCTGAGTTTGTTTGTTTCTTTTTTGCACTGGTCAGTATCACCATTCGTTCACAGCAGTGGATCCGTCATTAGGGCCCCTGGTTCTGTCTGTGTGTTTGGAGGAAGAGGAAAGTCGGGCGCGAGTCATCCTGAGGTGAAATGCTAATCGTGTTTTACGAGACCCTTATGGGGACCTGCACAAGCACTTAAATGTGAGTCAATGTTGACTTTGTGTGTCTTGTCTCACAGAATGAAAGAGCGCTCCCTGCATGGCGTTTTCTCCCTCTCGCTCTTTCCCGGCATTCCATCAGCTGTCGAGCTAGCAAAGGTACACGGGTTTTCATTCGCATAAGTAAACAGTGTCATCAGTGTTATGCACTGTGAAAATGAAAACTACATTTGACCCCTTTAAATGTTATCTGGGCCTCGAGCGTCCTACGGATCTAGTTTGTAGAGGACCGAGTCTCAGGCAAGGGAGAAAAAAAAAATCAATAAAAATACCCATCTCCTTTCTAGATGCTGTGTGACAAAGTGACCGTCTCAAAGTTTGACGCAGTCAGCTACCTCAAGGTACTTCTTGACCATGACCAGAAAGACAAACGGATTGACTTTGATGTGCATGAAACTCTTGAAGTTCCTCATTCTCAAGGCTCCGATACTAATAAGGGCATTCGACGAGCACAGAGTGTCTTCCAATTTCAAGTTTGGTGTGTTGTACCAAAAGGAGAATCAGGTAAGAAGCCCATCGTTCGTTTCGGGCCTGCATTTCATTCAACTGTGAGAAATATACAGTAGTGGAACCTCTGTATCACAGGATCAGGGCCTCCGCAAAGATTTTGAATGTGATTGTTTTGATCATCAAACCAAGAATGTTCATCTTGACGTCCTTCGTGTCTTCTTGCGGATTATTACGTCACGAGTGAATCATCTCTCAACACTTTTACAGTCATTACTAACCTCATGATTCCGCATTTGATATCATTCATCTTTGAGACCTGAACTGACGCTGACAGCAGTGCTAATTTGAGTTAGCTTACTTGACTTAACTTCTTAGCGATGTTCCCCCACCCCCAAATTTTTTAGAGGTTCCGCTATACAACCAGTCAAAGACACGGAACTCTCTCACCAGTTCACCGAGGAGGACATACTCGGTAACGACGAGGAAAGCGAGGAGTTTGCGCAGTTCCTGTCTATTTTGGGGGACACGGTTCAGCTCCAAGGCTTCGCCGGGTAACGTGCGATTGGCTAAAAGACGCTGACGGTGCAACATCTCATGCGATTTTCCTTTTCACAGCTTCAGAGGAGGGCTGGACGTGTGTCACGGGCAGACAGGAAGTGAGGCAGTTTTCACTTCCTTTCACGGCAGAGAAGTCATGTTCCACGTTGCCACCAAACTGCCTTTCACAGAGGGCGACCCGCAGCAGGTTGGCTCGTCTAAAAAAATCGTTTCTGCGTTCGGCAGCAATGCGTGTCTCAAAATGGTGGCAGCTTGGAATTAGTGATTGTACTTGAGTCGATTTTTTTTCCCCCAGATATCTGCACTTGAGTACTTCTTTTTCTCATTCACTTTTACTACCTACGTTTGAAAACCTAGAGCGTATTTCTTACTCGATATAATAGCCTTCTTATTTTTTTCAAATTCTCCCAATTATAATATTCAGTACCAGCCAATTCTAGACCAAGTCTGAAAAGACGTTTAAAAACGTCTTTGGGAGTGAATGAGTTAAGACACATCATAAAAAAGACGTACAGTAGATAGAAAGAGGTCAATTCCCCGGAAGTCAAGGAGTTGAATCAGTACTCCTACCTAAATATTTTTTTGACAAGTAGTTCTACTCACGCACAGACTGCCAGTACTTTTGCCACTGCTTCTAATAAATGCTGAGAAACGTCTCCTCCTTGTCCCGCAGCTGCAAAGAAAGAGACACATTGGTAATGACATCGTGGCGCTGGTGTACCAGGAGGGTCCGACTGCTTTCTTAGCCGATGTCATTAAGTCGCACTTCCTGCACTGTTTCATCGTGGTCCGGAAGGTTCCGAGCGGGAAGGTCGATGACACTGGCCAAGCTGCATATCAGGTTCTATTTTTTTTTTTTAATCTATCCCATCTGAGCGAAAAGACCAAATTTTGAGCAAAGGTGCCCTGATGCAACCTTTAACTCGCCTCTAGTGTACTTTACTTCTGACTAACCTAGATGAAAAGGTGCTACTCTTAGTCCTTGACTGCAGTTCAATTTAAAGCAACAGGCCACCGACGAAGCTGGGACGTGCAGTCAGGGTAGGCAAGTGAGGCAGTGCCGTCCCCTGCTGGCCCTTTCGCCTGCCTGTGAAGACTTTAAAAAAAAAAACAAACGAGTCTGAACTGAAAAACGAAGTTTGAGGTGCTTCTTGGTGTCAAAAAGTTGGACAACCACTGCAGTTTGGGTTGAACCAAATGTTGTGGCCAATGAGTATATTTCCTCTCGGTTGCAGATATCTGTCACGGCCAGAGACGACGTTCCTCCATTCGGCCCAGTCCTCCCAGATCCTCCAGTCTTCACAGATGTGAGAGCACACAACTCTTGCGCTTTCTATCTTTTTAATTCCTATCCTGGTGTTAATAAAGGAGTCGCCGAAGCCTAAAACTAGAAAGCGTCATATTGTAGAATGATTTCAATCGCCGTTTCATCAGCGGCCAGTCTGTCAGTCCTGCCCAACATGTGCACGGTGCGACGCTTAAAAACCCCGGTACACCTCCGCTTTGTCTTCAGCACTCCCGACTGAGAGAATTCCTCCTGACCAAGCTCATCAATGCGGAAATTTCCTGCTATAAGGCCGAGCAATTCAGCAGACTGGAGGTAGATGCTCATCCCCCGGGAAGTTCACAAGGTCCATTTGGTAGTAATATCATCTTTCCTCCTTTTCCCACTCCCTTAAAAAAAAAATTATAATAAATAAAATCAAGCTCCGCACGCGTTCATCACTTCTGGAGAGTCTGCAGGCAGAACTCTCTGCCCGTTCGCAGTGCATGCTGGGAGATCCATCAGCCCCTTCTGTCCCATCTGCCGAGAGTGCCAGGGGGATGTCCGAAGGCAGCGGTGGATTCATTGAGAACTTTAAGGTCAGAATGCGGAATTCTTAGTCTTAGATTCAATTTTACATACATTGCACAGGTTTTTTTTTTTTCTCAGAGGGCCATCAGAGTCCGGAGCCATTCCTTCGAGACCCTCGGGGTGCCCAGGAAGATCAGCAGCATCTCACCACAGAAGACAAAGGTAAGATTTGGAAGGAATGTCAAACCGAAAACATTGATATATCCACAGCTTGGCGTGTCGAAATCGTTTTCATCACAGGGCACAGTGTGGTTATGTTTTCCCTCGGACCGCCATGATGAAAATTTGCAAAATCGAGAATCACCTCATCATGATAACATCCCGTCATTTTCAAAGTCCGGTACTAATGGTACAAGGGCTCCCTCTTGCGGTAGGCGAAAGAATGACTTAAGTACGTTCGATTTCACTTTTATGTGCAATACATATCAATCAAATCATTATTTCAGTACAACTTTTGTCCTATTTGAGTGCAGTGTTGTGTTAAAAACTATATAATGTTACCGTGACTCACAATAACATGAAATATACTTTTTTTTCGGAAAACCTGTGTCCCAATTTTATTTCAATATTGTATATATTTTGAAAAAAATGGATTTGAAATTAGAAATCAACCAAATATTTCAGTAAATGTCAATGTTATGTTGAGAAGAGATTTTTTTTTGGGGGGGGGACATTCTTGTAATATTTAAAAACAAACACTTTCAAAAAAAAGCAGAGTAAATTTGAAATTTTGTGACAGATCTCCTGAAAAAGAAAAACAACAAATCCATTCAGCAGGAATCGTACAGTTGATACGAGTTATTTCCTTTAGTGGACTATAAAAAAATAATGTGACGGGCCAGATCTCACCCATGGGCTTTGAGTTTGACACCTGTGATCTACACAAGCAAAATTCCACACCTGACTCACACCCACCCAAAAAGATTTGTCATTGTCCTGTCCTTGCCATTTGCCTAGATGCCATAAGATGGCGGCAGAGCACTTATTTACATATCGGCAATGGCAGGATTAAGTTGAAGATCCTTCCCTCAGTTCCACATTGTTGCTTGACACCACAAGGTAGCAGTGAAATATTTGAGACATAGCTTTGGACTGAGCCTAAAAGAGCGAATAGCTGAATTTTTCAGCAAACAAAAGGCACATAGGTTCCACTGCAAAAATCCACAAATTGCAAATGCTGACCTGCAAGTTTGCAAATTTCTTCCTGTGTGATCCTGCCAACTCCAAAATGTTTTATTTTATATGCGGTTACAATGTTTTTTGGAAATTGATTGAATATTTTTGACACAGAGATTTTTTTTGTAATGTCAGAATTCTAAAATAGTCATTTATTAATGCAGATGTATTCAAACTTCTTTTACAGAGTGACAAGGATGCAGAGAGGTGAGTCTCATAACAATTTGTGACTTTTTTTCTTTTACTTCCATATATGTTAAAATAATATTAACAATTGAATGTTTATGAATCGAGTGACTGCTTGGCTCCAGCTGAAGTCAAAGATCAAGCAAGTCCTCAAGAGGAGACGTAGAAAAACTCCACCTTCCAGATTTTAGACGTTCATTCACATACAGCCTTTGTGTTGACATTATTATCTATGTGGATGACTCCTGTAAATAGATACAGTAGTCAAAGGGAGTCTTGCTGCTGATGTGATTATGTTCTGTCAAGCGTTTTCTTACAATCGCAGCTGTTGTGAAATCGCCACAGAAATGAAGATGTATTTTATCATACTGCAATAGAAGTCTTACTTTGTATATGTGATTTAAGGGAATAGAAATTATCTTCATGTGACATGTATGGTAAATAAAAGGCCTGCAAATGTTTAAGGAAAGGTGTGTAGTGTAGGTTTTTATATGTTGTTTTTTTTTCAACTAGCATCCATAAGTGCGAGTTTGAATAAAATAATAGCAACTGAAAAAAGTCGCCGTGTTAGTGAGGGCAAAAACTCTCTCTCTAATTATGATGGTATTATTTTGTGTTCGGGTTAGAAGGAAGACAACAATGTCTCATAAAATGCTTTCATGATAAGAATGTTCTTTATTTCATGGCGACTCAGGAGGCACTAATAGCCAGGAATTACCCACATGGCATTTAAAAGTGGTCTTGTCTTTGTTGGAAAAAAAACATTTTACATTTAATAGTAGTTGTTCAAACTGACTAATAAAATGTGCTTTTATGAATCATAATGCGTGAATATTTTACACTCCGTTATTGACAACAACAAAAGAAACGATTTCTAACTTACAGGACGTTTGCGTGTTCAGCGTGCTATTGCACTCCCGTCCCATAGGTGGCAGGACATATTTATGCGTTCACGCCACATATATAATTTTAGTAGAAGAAGAATTTAGCGGAATTAGTTCGGTATAAACAAACAATGAATTATCAAATCTGCAAACTGCCATAACTCGGCAACGAATAAAATTTGTCTTTTTTTTTACACTGTATTGCGGGTGCTTAAGAGTAGCTTTACTTAACACCGATTAGCATTGCTTGCGGACCGATTGAACTTTGACACACTACAGGTTTTGGACGATTTCGTTTGATTACTTACCGTGCAAGTACACGCGTCGAATATGACCTCCAAAAAGGTGATCGAATTGTTCTACGATGTGGTCTCTCCCTACTCTTGGCTGGCCTTTGAGGTTTGTCTATTATTTATTTGATTGGTGACACAAGTAGCGGTACTATTACAAGCTGGTGTCCATGTCAAAGCGGACCTAAAGCGATTCGTTTACAGGTCATGTGCCGATACAGAACCGTGTGGAATATTGATCTCAAGCTCAGACCTGCGTTTCTGGGTGGTGTCATGCAAGGTTCCGGTAAGATTGTCACGTTAACACCCAGCAGTGGTGGCAAAAGTACTCAGACTTTGTAAATACGTGGAAGTGGCCTACGCAAGTAGTGGTGCGGGCTAATTAGGTGAAGGTAACCCTGAAATCTACTCAAGGGCAATATTCATTTTCGACACAAATCATTATTGTAGCCGAGAACATCACAATATCTTGCTTTTCCGAACCTGTTCATGTGCCCCGATTCACATCCCTTCAGATCGTCGCTGTCCCTGTTTCTCTGCCTCCTAAAACCCCAAGATATCAATTCTTCAATCAACATGTCAACCGCAGTTTAATTGACTCTTTTCTATTCACACTTATTGTCGTAATCCACAAAAAGTAATGGGCCTATTTTGGCAAAGTAACTTATCTGTATTCAAATATTGGGACTAAAAAGTCACCTGAAAATTGACAAATTAAAGTTCCGATGCCCGAAACATGTTCTGACTGACTAATCCAAATGCAATAATGAAGTATTTGTACTGCATTACTCCCCTCCATTGGCAGTGAAGTTATGTCTTACCGTGACAGGCAACAAGCCCCCTGGATTGGTTCCGAACAAATTCTTGTGGATGAACCATGACCTGGCCCGCCTAGCAGTATATTTCAACGTCCCATTGCGTCCTCCTTCAGACCCTGCGGAAGCCATGTTCAGAAAAGGTACACGTCAAGTCAAAGGAGCATTCATTTTGAAATTAAGGAAGGATACCAGTTTAAAATGAAAAAGAGAGTTGAATATATAATACTGTACAATTCTTACTATTATGTGATGATTCTGCTGATCCCTGAGGAAAAAAACGAAATACAGTCGATTTAATACAAACATACAATATAAAGTAGGGACACTTTATTTTACGTAGATTAAGGTATGTATGTGTATATTGAGATGTTTTACTTTTTACTTCTTGTAGGCTCCTTGAATGCAATGCGCTTCATAAAAGCGGTGCAGGAGAAGGAGACAGGTGGAGACCAGCAGGTGGAGAAGGTGTCCAGAGAGCTCTGGAGAAGAATCTGGAGTGAGGACAAGGATATCACCGAGCCCGCATCACTGGCTGAGGTAGCAACACATCCAGAGTGCTTGCTTGGTGAGAAATTAGTTAAACAAACAAACAAAAACAAACAGAGAGAGATTATTGGCTATGTTGTCCCCAGGCCGCACAGAAAGCTGGCTTGGGCAGGAGCGAAATTGAAGAGTTGCAGAAGCTGTGCACCACACCGGAAATCAAAGACAAGCTGAAGAGCAGCACTCAGGACGCGCTGGAATATGGGGTCGGTTCGTCTGTGTGTCGCATGTGTAACGTGAGTTCATTTTATTTTTTTTTACACCTGCTGTACTTGTCAGGCATTCGGCTTCCCCATGATGGTGTGCCACATCAACGGGAAAGCTAAGATGTTCTTTGGCTCCGACAGATTTGAGGTCATGGCCCACTGCCTTGGTAAGAAACCTGCTTTACTCTTTTTTTTTTTGTTGTTATCGTTTTTTTAAGGGTAACGGGCATTTATATTTGGTGTAATTCCACTGTTAACCACTAGATGGTGACACGCTTATTTGGTTTGAGACGGTGTACATTTGAAAATTTAAAAAAAAGAATGGAACAGGAAGTATTTGAGCAGAGTGTGCGCAAACCTGTTTTACTGTTGAATCAATGGCTGAAAAACTATTGGTGACATTAGCTCTCCTTTCCCACATGCAGAGGCATCACACGAAGTACTTTGACATGAGTTGACAATACTGTATGCTATTTTTTTGTTTGTTTGTTTTCTAACAAATTACAGTGCCGATCAATTTTGTTTATTTGCTTACTTTTTAGGTGAAAAGTGGCTCGGACCTCAGCCTGCTCATCATGAAAGGTCATCTGCCAAACTGTGAGACAAAGTTGCCTTTCCAACCGCCCGTCTACTACCTAATTGATATATTAACTCTAATTACAGTTTAACCTTGTGTGAAAAGCACACCTGTGTGCGCTGTGCCTCTTGATCACAATAGAAAAGGCCATTTTTTTAAATCATGTATACGACAAGCAAACAGTCCATACTGTATGTTGCCATTGGAATAAATCGTTGCTGCTACAAAGGCAAAGGTCACTTGTTTGTGTTTGACGAGCGCAAAGACGAAGCTTATCGCGGACTCGATCCTCTCGAGCGCGGGGAGCTCGTCGTACGGGTTCCAGCGGTCGCAAGTTGGTTTTTTTTTTCTCTCTTCTTTTATCAAACGGCTGCGGCGAGTCCGTACGACAAGGAGCGGCAAGACCAGTTCTTGACAAAGCCAAGGAAGGTTGGGCCACAAAGAGACCTGTGCGGGCCTCCGCCGAGAAGGAAATGACAGGAGTAAACACAAAGAGGAGGCGGGGCGAGACTGTTGGTTACCATAACCGTGTTGATTTGCCCCCTGAGGGGGGGAGAAGGAAGAAGGAAGGAGCAATCGAGGAGTAAGTTGCTGGAGACGAGGGGCGGAGTTAAAAACATTATACACGGCTGAGCATTGACAAACAGGTGTACACCGATCACCCCCCCCTAACAGTCAGTCAGAAAACAAAGACCATGTAGAACTGGCTCGGGATTTAACACGCTGCCGGGTGGACGGAAGACGACTGACCCCATGAAGACAGACTGCGGTAGCAAGACTATTCTGGAGGATCTAGAACACAACTGAAAATTAAAGGTAAGACAATATCTTGCGCTCCAGTATGTCTCTTTTAAAACCTGCTTTAAATACTCTACGACGACAAGCTGTCATAGAAAAAGCTACAATGTTTCGCACGCAAACGGTGTTTTTTTTTTAGATCAGCATTTCGTTGAGTTGATGCTTTTGATGGCGCGTGTGGTTTTCCGCTCATGGGCATGTAGTGCGACGCCGGCATGAAAGTGTCAGAAATGCAGAGGGACAGGTTTTCCGCACACTGACGTCCAAACGGTTACGCTTGCGCCGCTGTAGAATTCCCAGTAGCCCGCAAAATCCGCCCCTTTAACAGCACTTGACTTGATGTCACCTTTCGTCTCAGGTGCGCAATTTCAGGAGGGCCGCCGCAAGAGCTTCATCAGCGGTCCCACAAAGAGAAATGAGCAACAGTTATTATGACGCCATCTGAGGAGAATAATACAATGAAAAGCAGTTTGGCAGTATATTATGTTGAAAAAAAAAACCCTACCACCAAGCGCATATACTCCACCCTTGATGAACTAACATTTTCCTGTCACAATTCTATTACGGTCGTTAGATGCAATTAAGGTTCATGTTAGGTCAAGTGTCCAATATGCACAACAACTTGCAGAACGTAGTCAACAGCGTCGTCCTCCTGGTGCTCTGACAATCGTCAGTGATAAAGATTTTATCTGCAAACTTTTTAGCAAGTTGCCACCCGTTGGGAGTATATCGACCAGGGACGGGGGAGCCAGCGGCGGCCCGCCGGCTGCACTTTGAGTGGCCCTTTGATTAATTCCCCCGACACACACACATTTTTCAGAAAACACAGATCAACATTGATTTATGTTCCCTTTGGAGAAATGCGGGGGTGAAAAAAAAATCCCGTCAAAATTTAAAAAATAAAAGTCAATTATCTGGCCTGGCACCTTGGCGTCGAAACATATTGCAGGGGTGGAGCCCCCACTACTCCCTGTAGCTCAGCCAGAGATATGCATTAAAAAAAAAGTGTCATGCACGCCAAGGGAAAAAAAGATTGTTCTGTCTGTTACTGTACAATGCGGGCAAAAAGAAAATTAAAATACACTTGTCGGTAAATCATTCCTGGAAATCATTAAGTGAAATGCAATAATTTGATGATCTCACGGCACAGTGGTTGTCCATCATTCATATTGAATGCAATGTATTGGACATTGTTGATGCGAGTGTAATTCAACACGACCTCAATACGACACATTGTTAAATAAATACCATAAAAATGGGCATTGTTGTTTTGCAAAGGGTCATGTCACTGCCTCATTTTAAGACCGTCTCCAAGTTAGCCTAGCAAGAACTCCTCCCTCGATGAGGACTAAAGTTTCCAGTGTTTGCCTACAATTGTGTTCCTTTAACAAACAAAACACAGAAAGGCTTGTTCACACTTTCATTTTTAGTCGATTGGACAATCGTCATGGGTGGGGTGAGTGTGTGGAGGGTGGGGGGGTGTCCAGCAGTTGCAACTGGTTCAGAATGCTGCTCCTCAAGTTCTTACTGGAACCCACCACACTGCTCCTAAAAGCGGGTTTTCATTGTCAAATTTTGCTGTTGGTTTGGTAGTTTTTATTTTTTAGATGCTTCGTTTTCGGTTAGTTTTAATGTTTTGTCAAAAACATGGAGTGTTGAGGCCAAGATGGGGGGGGGGGCCACTAAATATAGGA